AACCGAAAAACCAACCTTTTGATTGCGGTTAGAAGATCACAGCCAAGGTGTTGGATGAGCCAACACCCTCTTGAGCAGTCCACACCCTTGGGATGGTTTCCAACACTTGGAAACTTGCTTGCTAGAGCTTGAAAAGATCAAAATCTCTTGTGTATGGATCAAGAACACTCTCTTGAACTTGAAAGAGAGTTCTTCAGAGTCTCCAGCCTCTCAGATGGCTAAGGTCGGGATTAGGTCGAGTGATAGGTTCCCCACCTGCTTCCCACCAAGAAAAAGGCGAGAAAACGCGAAGTTCGGATTTTTCAGTGTCTTGGTCCGGGACTGACCAACTCTTGCTCAGTCGGACCAAGCACACGTAAAATCCGAGCTTGCCGACAGTCCGCGATCCGGCGGACCAGACACTTGGTCCGCCGGACCAGGCACGTTCTGGACCACGCGCACTCCGTCTGACTTGTTGGTCCGGCGGACCAAGTTTTTGGTCCGCCGGACCAGCCGAACTCCGAGCCACGCGTTTTTGCTCCGACTGACTGTCTGGTCCGGGGCTGACCAACTCTTGGTCAGCTCCGGACCAGGCAGTTATTTCTTCCATTCGGTCCGCCTCTCCCAAGTCCGTCTGGTCCGGCTGACCAACTCTTGGTCAGCTCCAGACCAGACCTCAAAAACCGAGAAAAATCCGATTTTTCTCGTCCGTTCGATCCCGTACATACACGTCCATCCCATATGTGTGTGACCCTTTAGGCTCCTCCGAATACGGCAGTAAACTCGAGATCCAATCTCGCTTTACAAATTATAAGCGGTCTCTAGCAAGACATTATGATTACCCGTATCGGAAAGAGTTAGATGTGATCTAACTGAAAAGCCAGAGATAGCTCTAACGATGATCCTCTTTGTCTCACGATATCATAATCGAACTCATAGTTCGAATGCTTTTTCGTATCCCGAGTAGACTGTAAGAGATAGATGACATTCATCTATAGTGTGGCCACACATTTCTACAGTCTCACTCATACGACGGGCCCAAGCGATATCTCTCTCTTTCGAGAGGGACAAAGTTCCATCTTGAATATCTACTACCCGAGCCACACCTTTATAATCATCCGGTTAAAGACGATGTTTGACGCAGTCAAAGTACATTACTCGTCATGATGGATACAATACATATCTCAGGTCTGAGGATCCAAAGTGAACCATCAAGTGAGATTCAAGTCATGGATAAAATCCAATCGACAATCTCACGCGAGTCATCCAGTTACTTGTTCCAAACAAGTACTCATGATCGTGATCCGTATCCAATACGTATGATCATTACCATGATCATCCATCACGCCTCATGTTAGTCTTAATTTATCATTGCTTCCACAATGACAAGCGACTAAGGAATTTAGGATCGTTCATAACGATCCATGGATAATCATTATTTATTAAATATGCAAAATAAATAATGAATAAATAATGTATTCATCCAATAAATACATCGTATCATACATGGTTCTCATATCGTATGATCATCCTAGAGCATCACATCCATCAGGAACACATGTCTAAGTTAGATCTGGTTTTATGAATTGAACGTAATGCTTTCTTAGGATTGATCACCCTATAGAATTGAATTTGGATTAGTTAATTGCAAAGGAATTTGAATTAATTAATACCGGAATTCGTTCATAAGATAGGTTCAATTATTAATTCTGAACGCATAAATTGGACTTGATAAGAAATTCTTAATTCGACCTAGAAACTATGATAGCGGACGTTAATGCTTCTAAGTAGACCTAAAGATGTAGAAGCTGATAGGAAAGCGTTAGTTAGAGAACGATAGATCCCTGACCGGATGCATTCTAGGATAGAAGCTAGAGTTTCCCAAATCGACCTCAGACTGCAATCCAGTCACATGTATTTAGATAATCCATAGTATCGTGAAGCCCCGAACCTGCAGTATTTTTAATTATAGTTTTTTCCAACCAACCAACAAATCTTGCGCTCTGTTCTTACTAGGATCATCATCGACACCATCACCTCTCGGTCATTGAGTTCGACCCTGGTACTACATTGAATCCACACCCTTGCGGAATCGGTTTAGTCTAGGTTTTTATTACTTACCTCATGCTAGTCTTAATTCATCATTGTTCCCACAATGATAACTGACCAGGGAGTTTAGAATCATTCTCTAATGATTCAAAGATACTGAAATATAACAAACATGCCAATCATATAATGGAAAAAGTAATGCATTCATAAACCAATGAATTCAATACAAAGTCAAAATGTCATATCACAGATCATCCACCATCCAAATCCAAACAGGAAATAGAAACGATGTTTCTGTTTATAGTAGGCACAAAGTAACAATTACTTAGTTCTATAACAAGTCCAGAAGGTAAAGCTAAATCATAAACGCCGACAACCAATGCGTCAACCGATACTGGCTTCCCTAAACATTCCTATAACAGTACTGACTCAATTCGTCAACCGGTACTGTTATAGAAATATCCACCCAAATGCACAAGTACTGACTCAATTCGTCTACCGGTACTGGTTCCACCACATAGTCTATGATAGTACTGACTCCACTTCGTCAACCGGTACTATGATAGAATATCCACACCATCCGTCAGTACTGGCTCAGTTCGTCTACCGGTACTGGTTCCACCACATATTACTCCCCAGCATAGATATGCTTCTGAATCTAGTGGGAATCTGAATAACATTCTGGTTGTCTTCATACAACTTCCTTTGGTATGGGGATTCGAACTTCCACCGGTGCATTTTGTATTCTTCTGGACCGATCGGTATGGGTGTGGACCGGTCGATCTAGCTCATTTCGGATCGTTCGTTCTGTCTGTTGCCCAGACCGGCCGGTCCAAGTCTGGACCGGTCGGTTTGGGTCCTGGGTTTCGTTCTTCTCCGCGAGTTCTTGCCCGATTTTCACCATTTTTTATCTGAGGTTTATCCTTCATAAGGATAGATCGTATGGTGACATTTTACAGATTCCTGCAACAGGTATGTTTACAGAAAAAGACAAACAAACAGAGAAAAATATGCAGCTTTCTTAATACACATACTAACACAGACAATAGATGCAATATGACAGGCTCCCACTAAGAAAAACGCCGTCAATGAGTTTCTAAGTGAACTAGGATCCATATTTTACATGCTTTTGAGTCAGCTAGGGCATGACGCTAAAAAACATGCTATTTAGGTAGACAACACATTGTCGGTCTATGGTCCAGACCGACCAGACCAGAGACAATCAGGACCGGACCGAAAAAAAACGGAGAAAATGAAAAAAAAAAATATGCGCATGGACCGACCAGTCTGGGCTCGACGACAGGAAAACCTGTCGAGCTGGCACCTTTTGACCGCGATTATTGCACGACATACCGACCCCACCCGCCACCAGTCGCCACCCCTGTGTAGTGGACGACACCTCTGGCCCTCCTGACCACTCTAGTACCCTTAGACCGCGGAAAAACGCCCATTTAACCGGAGTGAAACTGTAGAAATGTGTGGCCGCACTATAGATGAATGTCATCTATCCCTTACAGTCTACTCGGGATATGACAAAGCAATCGAACTATGGGTTCGATTATGATATCGTGAGACAAAGAGGATCATTGTTAGAGCTATCTCTGGCTTTTTCGGTTAAATCACATCTAACTCTTTCTGATACGGGTAATCATAATGTCTTGCTAGAGACCGTTTATGATTTGTAAAGCGAGATTGGATCTCGGGTATCTCTGATATGGGTAATCATAATGTCTTGCTAGAGACCGTTTATGAGTCAGACTGATCTTCCAATATCCTTTTGGGGATACGCTCTTGAGACTGCTGCTTATATACTGCATAGAAGTCCTTCGAAATCGGTTCAGAAGACACCATGGGTTGGGAAGAGTCCCAAGATGTCTTATCTCAGGATTTGGAGTTGTGACGTTTACGTGAAACGTCAACTATCTGACAAGTTAGGACCCAAATCCGAGAGATACTTGTTTGTTGGTTATCCCAAGAAAACGAGGGGACGACACCTCTGGCCATAATTGTATCCGAAAATTAAAACGAGATTAGATCACTCATATATCGATATCAACTCTTTATATTAGATTTGATTTTATTCTTGGCGTATAATAAAACGTTATGTTTTATGCTCATTTGAATTTACTTCAACATTTACCACAAATAAATTATATTATTATATCATTTTATTCAAAGGAAAGAAATCCAACGTGTTTTGAATAAATATGAGTTGGAATTTGCACATTTGGGGGAAAATTTTTAGAGAGAAAAATAATTACTTTATTTATTTAGTTTTTGGTCATATATATGTGTATTCACACATTTTTACAAAATTACAAATTTCCAAAAATAAAGATAAAATCTATGATTTACATAGATGAAATGAATATCCGAATAATCAGATATCTTGTTTAGTGATGCAAAAACGTACAAGATTAAAAAAAATAGAAATTTTTAAAGAAAATAAGTTGATCCATATGATTAGAGAATTTAATATTAGTCAAAGTTCAGATCCCTCCGACCTAACTCGAGTCCACATTTGGTTCAATGATTTCGGATTCGGGTTCGGGTCGATCTGATTTTTTCGCACCTATGTAACTAAGTCCAAAATTTGACCCAATATATTTTAGATTTAGATTTGCGTTGGACCGGATAAAACTAGCCTGCATAATTTTTTTTGTAAATATTATTTTTTATTTTTTTAAAAAATATCGGATTTTCACACTGATCCGAATCGAATCCAATACGATTTAAACATGATCCAAAAATCCGATTTTTTTAGAACAGAAAAATTAGGTTGGACCACGCAGAACTTCGTATAGAACCTAAATTGACACCCGAAGTAAAAAAGAAATTTTAACAAAAAAAAGAAGTAAAAAAGAGAGAGATATCGAACACGTGCATTGCATGCGTGCGCTGAAAATCGAAACAATCGGAGCGACTTCCACCGTGATATCACCACGTAAGAGGCCAAATAAAAAAATCCCCGAAAAATCGATGGGAAAAAAAAAACACGCACAAGAAAACATATTTGAAGAGGTTTGCTTTATTTCTCTCTGTCGGCTTCAGCTTCTTCTGTTGCTTCTAATCAGCTGAATCCTCTGTTTCTGACGTTTCAGAAGGTAATGGGCTTCAAAAGTTGTCTCCTTCTGTTTCTTCTCGCTCATATGATAACATCGCAGTTCAAAGTAATAACGTCAAAAAGATTAGAAATTTATTAGATGGTTGTTGTCGATTTACGATTTCGCCATGTGGGTCGTGTCGCGAATTTTCATAGTTTGAGGGCGAGATCGATCCGGTTGCCAATTTAGGGTTTTTCCCTATTGTTGCATCGTTCCCGGAAAGGGAATGTAAATAGGTGGAGGAAATTTATAGAAACCAATTAATGTAGTTTTCACTTTTGCAGATTTTGTGTCTTTTTTTATTTCGTGTCGGTTCGAAAGTTGTCTATTTTAGAAGTATCGGCATTGAATTGTTCGTCTCTGAAATATCTCTCGTGCATATATATATCCAGCCACCCACCGACATACAGATACATATACATATACATATACATATCTGTGTATGTATAGAGTCGTGTTTCGAGATCAAGAGATTTGAGTTTGTGTTGAGGAGAAGATGAAGTTTGGAGAGACGTTCGCGGAATATCTGCATGGAGAGGAGGAGTGGTTTCTGGAAAACTGTCGGCACGTTGAGTACAAGAAGCTGAAGAAGGTCCTGAAGAGGTGCAAATCATGTAACCAGGCGAAGTCCGAATCCAGTGATGAACAAAACCCTTCACTCTCTGGACTATCATGCCAATGCCAAGCTTGCCCTTGTAAGAACCTCTCCTTTTCGTTCTTGTTCTTTCGAGAATTGTGTTTTCTCAGGTAGAGATTTCGATTCAAATCGAGAGAGAAAGAGAGTAAACGAACTGGAATCTTCTCCTTGAGCCTGCTTTTGATTGATTTGGTGGTATCGAACTGATGCATCTTCGTGTTTATCGATTCTAGATCATTGTCCTATCTCGAAATATATAAGAAATTCTGGTTCTTTGATACGTTTTCTTAAGTGGATTTCGTTTGGTTCTTGTTTTTCTTTTTGATGATGGATTTGTTCAAGTAACGGCGGGTGTTCTGCAGGGTGTGATGAGATGTTCTTCTCAGAGCTGATGAAGGAAGCTTCGGACATAGCGGGATGCTTCAGGTCGAGAGTGAGACATATTCTCCATCTTCACATAGCCACCGGAATGCAGAGATACATGCTGTGTTTCCGCAGATGCTTCGCTGACCATACTCATACATTACTCGAAGAGGGTCAGATTTTGATTCATTACATCACGATGAACGCAATTGCCATCCGTAAGATCCTCAAGAAGTACGACAAGGTCAGCTCCACTTCCGCAATAACAAGTTAAGAATTCGCGTTTTCTTTTAACTCGGGAATGTGGTAATGAGAGAGAGAGAGAGATTGATGGAATTTGGTCAGGTGCATAGCTCCGAGAACGGGAGAAATTTCAAGACGAAGATGCGGGCTGAGCGTATAGAGCTGTTGCACTCACCCTGGCTCATAGAACTCGGAGCCTTTTATCTGAACTGTGGGCTCGACTCTGTGGAAAACGTCAACTCTTCGTGCGGCCGTGTCTCCTGTGATCTGACCACGGATCGACCCGTGATGAAGCTGACGCTTCCGAACCCGAACTCAGTCGAGCTGGAGTTCGATCTCACCTGCGCCATCTGCCTCGTAAGCCAAAAAAAAATGCAATTTTTTTTTTTTTTGCGGATATACGCATGCATATGCATATATACATACACATACGACCGGAAGTTGTGGTGTCTGGTTAGGACATGAGAGTGTGCCTTTGGTGAAACACAACAGGAAAAGGTGTTCAATCCGTACGCGTTGAAGTGCGGTCACATCTTCTGCAAGGCGTGTACGTGTTCTGCTGCCTCTGTGATGATCTTCCAAGGCGTTAAAGCCGCTTCTTCTCAATCCAAATGCCCCATTTGCAGAGAGGTTTTTATTTTCCCTTGCTATCGTCATATATATATAAAATAAAAATCCCATATAAATGCTCCAACTTTTAGTTTGATAATAAAAATATTTCAAATATTATCCTGAAATTGAGAATAATTTTCAATCAAAACTCTTATATATTTGTTCAAAAACGTCAAAATAAATTTGATTTTTTTATTAGGAATTATTATCAGTTTTTCAGGGTATGGACATCAATTTGGCACGATTTCCGGAATTGATATATTAATTTGAAATATTTTAATATATTATATTATCAAATTAAAAATTAAGATATTTATTTGACATATTTTTTAAAATTTTGATAGTTATATGGGATTTCCCCCATTTTTGTTTTTTTTTTTAAACAAAGAGGCGTATTTTCCGAATCTTAAGAGTGATCGTATATACGGTTTTGCAGGCTGGAGTTTACGCTGACGCCGTTCACATGGTCGAGCTCCATCTTCTCTTAAAGATACGGTGAGACAAAAATTCGAATAACTTCCGGTCTTAATTTAATAATCGATAGGCCGAAAATATAAGTGAATGACTATGAACTGCCAAATAAACTCGTGACCAATGATACTTCATGTATATTTTGATTCAGTATCTAATATAAATTATCACAAAATCGAGATGTTTTTATTTTAGGGAGTAATGCTAAAAAAACATCAACTTTTTAAATTTGGTAAATAAATAAGCAAACTTTGAATTTTTTTTTTATAAATCCACACATTTTTTTATAAAAATACATAAATTTTAAAATTTTTGTATATATTTTTATTTTTATACAAAATTAGAAGTTTATATATTTATCAAATTTTAAAAGTTTATATTTTTTGGATATGATTTTTTTGCAGATGTAAAGAGTATTGGAAAGAGAGGACGGTGGCTGAACGTTCCGAGATGGTGAAGCAGTCGAAGACGTTTTGGAACGAGCAGACCAAATATATGATTGGTTACTAATATTTATTTATTTACTTATTTACTCCCCGTAATTTGTTTTTTTTTTCCGGATACGGTTTCGGAATAATTGTTTCCCTTAATAAAAATGTAACCGTAATCATATTTTGGATTACTTGTTAAAAATGGGTGGATCTCTTTCGTTGAATGGCTGCTGCGGGGCGTTTTTATTTGAAACGTTGATGTTGAAGGAATAAAAATAAAAATAAAATCAAATTCGAAGGAAATTAATTAAAAAAAAAACAAATGATTTTTGCAGTTTAGAATTTATATTACCTGTTAAATAAAACTAGAAAAATCATTTTTAGAAATTCAAAGGAAGATTAGAAACAGAGGGGAGAAAAGGGAATAAATCCCTAAAATAGGTAAATAGGAAGAGAGGAAAAGATGGGGAGACGGGAAGAAGGAATATGCCAAATGGAAGAAAGAATATATTCCCTTCGTCTGGGCGTATAAATTGCCAGCTCCCAACGCTCCCTCTCTCCATCGGAAGCCATTTGAGTGTCTGCAGACATTTTCTCGGGAAACAGGCACACACGCAAGACACAGAGTTACGACACAGAACTCTGTCTTGTGTTTGGAGAGGACGATATCAAATGGCGGGGGATCAACTGCAAGTGCTAAACGCGCTTGATGTCGCCAAAACGCAATGGTACCATTTCACAGCGATCATCATCGCGGGAATGGGATTCTTCACCGACGCTTACGATCTCTTCTGCATCTCTCTCGTGACCAAGCTCCTTGGTCGGATCTATTACCACGTCGACGGTGCCAAGAAACCCGGAACGCTGCCGCCCAACGTATCCGCCGCGGTTAACGGCGTCGCGTTCTGCGGAACGCTGGCGGGTCAGCTCTTCTTCGGATGGCTCGGCGACAAGATGGGGAGGAAGAAAGTGTATGGGATGACTCTGATGCTTATGGTCATCTGTTCCATCGCTTCTGGTTTGTCCTTCGGACAGGACGCCAAGTCTGTCATGGCCACTCTCTGCTTCTTCCGCTTCTGGCTCGGATTCGGCATCGGTGGAGATTACCCTTTGTCTGCAACTATCATGTCCGAGTACGCCAACAAGAAAACTCGCGGCGCGTTTATCGCCGCTGTTTTCGCCATGCAAGGGTTCGGAATCATGGCCGGTGGGATTTTCGCGATCATCATCGCGGCTGCATTTGAGGCGCGTTTTCCATCTCCGGCCTATGAAATCGACGCGATTGCATCGACTGTTCCTCAGGCGGATTACGTTTGGAGAATCATTCTGATGGTCGGAGCTTTGCCGGCGGCTATGACGTATTACTGGCGTTTGAAAATGCCCGAAACCGCGCGGTACACTGCGTTAGTCGCAAAGGACGTGAAGCAAGCGACTTCGGACATGTCAAAGGTTCTGCAAGTGGAGATGGAAACACAACAAGTCAAGGGGGAAGAGGTTTCGCAAGAAAAGGCCAACGCTTTTGGCTTGTTCTCTGCGGAATTCCTCCGCCGACACGGGCTTCACTTGCTCGGGACAGCAAGCACTTGGTTCTTGCTCGACATCGCTTTCTACAGCCAGAACCTTTTCCAGAAGGACATTTTCAGCGCGATCGGATGGATTCCTCCGTCCCCGACGATGAACGCCATCCAAGAAGTCTTCAGAATCGCTCGTGCGCAAACCCTGATCGCGTTGTGCAGTACCGTCCCTGGTTACTGGTTCACTGTGGCATTCATCGATATCATCGGAAGGTTTGCCATCCAGCTGATGGGTTTCTTCTTCATGACGGTATTCATGTTCGCGCTGGCCATCCCTTACAACCACTGGACTCACAAGGACAACAGGATCGGGTTCGTGATCATGTACTCACTGACCTTCTTCTTCGCCAACTTTGGACCTAATGCCACGACCTTTGTTGTACCGGCTGAGATCTTCCCCGCGAGATTCAGGTCAACCTGCCACGGAATCTCGGCCGCTGCGGGTAAATTGGGAGCCATGGTTGGAGCATTCGGGTTCTTGTATTTGGCTCAGAGCCCAGACAAGACAAAGACCGATGCTGGATACCCTCCTGGTATTGGCGTCAGGAACTCTCTCCTCCTGTTGGGTGTTGTCAACTTCTTGGGAATGATTTTCACTTTCCTCGTCCCTGAATCCAAAGGCAAGTCTCTCGAGGAGATGTCCCGGGAAAACGACGAGAGCGGTGGCAGCAACACTAAAACTGTTCCGGTCGTATAATCTCCGACCGCATTGCATTTTTCCGTTTCCGGTGTCTGGCGATCCATACAAGATTTAGGTGATAACGCTTAAGGTTTTCGCAATGGTTTTTTTGTTCGCACTCCTTTGTTTTTCTGCTCTCTGGTGAATTCTTTACTGTCTTTTTTTTTTTTTTTTTTTTTTTTTTTTTTTTTTTGGTGAAATCTCTTATGTTCTTTGTTAATCACTAAATAATGCTATAGAGTTCAACACTTCTGTTTTTTTTTTTTACAAAGAGTTCAACACTGTTATTGCATCGGTTTTCATTTTCATTTAAATTTGCTGCAGAATATGTTGAAAACCACGAAATGATTCAGATTAATCTTACTGCAAAAATCAAAACTTTGGATAAAAGTTTTCTATAATATTCAATGATAAGGAACCATTCAATTGATGCGAAAAAAGAAATTAGAAAACGGATTCAAATGAAAGATCCAGCACAACAACAACAACAGCAATTCCATAATCACAATATAAGCATAGATCATTTCACATTAGGCTTCTAATTAAGGTCAAGAACGTAACAACTCGTACCGGTTCTCTTTCTGAATTTTGTCTTTGGACATTTCCACATCATCATTTTCCGAGCTTTCATACGGGTACACAAATAATGGAGGAAAAATATATGTTTGGATGAATTTTTGTGTGTGTGTATTCATGAATTGAACTCCACAACTGAATATGAATATAATCGATTTAACTACTAAAACTAACAAAACTGTCAATTTCTACAAACTTGGCTTTGTAACCATTTCCAAACACCGCAACATCCATTTCTTCACATTTGTCCGAGAAAACAAGTGGGTTTACTAGAAGCTCATATTCATGCAAGACCAATCAAGCTAAAAGCACCTATTTAAAAAAACATAATTAATTTTTCAAATCATTTAGTTGTTTACAATTAATATTTATTAATATAATATTTAATAAATATGACCCCAAAATTAGGTGTCAGATTTGATAACGAAAATCTATATCGAAAATATATCTAGATAAAGTATCGGATTTGACAGAGTATCAGAGATTCGTATATATCTCTAATATCCCCTCGAATTGGAGCGTGTAGGTCGAGAACATCCAACTTGGAAAGAAGATGATCAAACCGGACCAACCATTCTGATGTTCGTCTCTGCTCCTCCCATAAATACTATTGTTATCATGACATCTTTACGACCCGAGAATGTTCATCATTGTGTCGAAGAATCATCTGCGAATATTACTTTAACTCAGTCTGAGAACCTAGTGTCTACCTCATCTCAGTCGACTACACCAACTTTACTCGGACGTGGTCATCGGAATCTCAACCGTCTATGTTTCTCAAACTCTATATTACTTATACAACTCAGTGTATACCCTCTGCTCACATTCCTCCTAGTGCTTTGTTAGATTTCTCTGGTACGCATCCTTATCTCATTGCTAATTATGTAAGATATGATAAATTTTCTGCACCACACCATACTTTTCTTGCAACCATTACTGAAGTACAGGAACCTTCTTCTTTTAAAGAAGCTTACAAAGATCCGAAATGGCATGAGGCAATGGAAGTTGAGATAAAAGTCTTAGAAGATAATGGTACTTGGATTTTGGAGACACTACCTCCCGTAAAAAAAGTCTATAGGTTGCAAATGAGTCTATAAAATTAAACATCGATAGGATGGATCTATTGAACGTTATAAGGCTCGAATATTGGTGGTTCTTGGTAATCATCAAAAAGAAGGACTTGACTATACTGATATTTTTGCTCCGGTTGTTAAGATTACTATGGTACACACATTCCTCGTTGTTGTTGCAGTAAAAAACTGGGAGGTGTATCAGATAGATGTATATAAGATGCCTTCTATGCGTATTCCTCAGGGAATTTCAAAATCGGACCCATCTCAGGTATGTCGATTGCGAAAATCCCTTTATGGGCTTCGTCAAGCTCTTTGATGTTGGTTTGAGAAGCTTACTACCTCATTACGGGCATTTGGATTTGAACGATCATATGTAGATTACTCTCTATTTCGTATGTTCGCAATGACACTCGGTTGCACGTGCTTATTTACGTTGATGATTTACTTATTAGAGGAAATGATATTGCCATGATTGATCGTTTCAAATGTTATCTCAGCACGTGTTTTCATATGAAGGACCTTGAGACTTTGAAGTATTTTTTGGGTATTGAAGTTGCAAAGATCCTACGGGGTTATACTTGTCTCAAAGAAAATATGCTCTTGATATTATCACTGAGTGTAGTTTACTTGGTTGCAAAGCTTCCCCTACTTCGATCGAGCAAAATCACACTCTGTCCGGCTCTACCGCATCCCTCTATTCTGATCCGACTCAATACCGGCGTTTAGTTGGACGTTTAGTGTAGTTAATGGTAACAAGGCCAGAGATTTCATATGTTGTGACATGGTATCAGAGTCCCTCATTATTCTTGGTATCGTCGTGTTTGATATTTTTCTCGTCCATGGTTTTTGTTTCTCTCGTTTGGAAGATGACTAGCTTACGTTCGAATATTCTGAATACAGAGATTGCAGAGGATTTGTAGAATGAACTCACAATTCAATTCTTTGTGTCCAATGGTCCTCAAGTTTAGTTTCTCAAATCCGAACTTTTCAATTGTCGACAACACGATATGTCGATGGCGACATACTTCGAAAAATTACACAGACTTTGGGATGATATTGCATTATATGAGAAGATGCATGCATGTGTATGTGGGGATGTATGTGTCGCATTTCTGAAAATCTGGTGAAATAGAAAGAAGATGACAAGATATATCATTTTTTCTCGAGTTGAAGGTTTCGATTTTTGGCACGGCTTGCTGTCTCAAACTCCTCTACCTTCCCTGGCCAGTGTGTACAAATCCATTCAACCGGAAAAATCTAAATGTGTGGCAATGTGAGCCAAGGAAGATTGATCAAACATCATGGTTTTGTCGGTTTAACTAGAATCTAGATCACGATCGTGTGCATAATTGAAGGATAAAACTATCGCATGTTCTCATTGTGGTCGAATTGGAAATGTTGTGGACACGTGCTTCGAACTTCATGGTTTTCCGGAATGGTGGTCAGATCGCTCTAAGAATATTGGTCAGGGTTCGCGTGGTCGAGGTGGTTTGGCTAAGAACTTTGATTTGATTGAAATGTTGGCAGCATTTGATCCAATTTTATAAGAAGATATCATGCTTATAACTATTCATAAAAATCATCATCATTATTTGTGACGGCCTGGATACCGAAGGAGGGTGGAGAGTGATCGCCGGTGCAAGAGAGGCACAGACAAGGGGCAGCTCTTGACGAGCTTTTGAGTACGGGGATGAATCGAACACACCGGAATAAGAGAAATCCGATGGTTATATAGGTATGGGACTATATGGTCTAACATAACATAAAAAAAATTAGTTAGGCTACTCATAGCAACAAAGTGCACCTACTTTTTTGGTTGACTATCCCGAGAGAACTCCAAAGTTAAGTGTGTTGACTCTGGAGCAAGTTCAGGATGGGTGACCTACTGGAAAGTGTCTTGGTATACGTGCGAGTGAGGAAAAAAACGCTGGAAGGTCTTGTGTTACTGTGTGAGGGCAGTTTTGACGATTTGTAGCGGCCGCAAGTCGTTACAGATAGTATTAGAGTCGGTACTTTCCCAGTACGGTGTGATTCGAGGACAAACCAGGTGGAAGCTGGTGGGCCTGTGATAGCCTGGATACCGAAGGAAGGCAGAGAGTGATTGTCAGTGCAAGAGAGACACGGACAAGGGGCAGGTCCTAACGAGCTTCAGGGTATGAGGTATAAGGATGAATCGAACACACCGGAATGAGAGAGATCCGAGGGTTGTATAGGTATGAGACTATATGGTCTAAGATACATAAAAAAAAATTAGTTGGGCTACTCATAGTAGTAAGGTGCACCTATCTTTTCACTTGACTATCTTGAGAGAACTCCAAAGTTAAATGTGTTGACTTTGGAGCAATTTCAGGATGGGTGACCTACTGGAAAGTGTCTCGTATGCGTGCGAATGAGGACAAAACATGCTATAAGATCTCATGTTGTTGTGTGAGAGCAGTTTCGATGGTTCTTAGCGGTCGCGGGTCGTTGCATTATCCGGTCATAATATTCAAAATGAAATAATAATTTTAATTGCTTCCAAAATTAAAAAAGACATTATAAAGATATAAAACAATATAAAACAAACAAAATATTGAATCACATATCTAAGATTGGGCGAGTCAATCGATAAAGAAGAGGGTAAAGTGTTGAAGTAAAAGAGAAAGACGAAGATCGGAGTTCAAATCCAGAAACCACAACATGCAGAGAAATTTATGGATCAATGGAGAATAAATTAAGGTGCAATCAAGCCAAAAATCATCCATAATATTTGGATACAAATATGGACAATGCAGACCTCAATGTTATCCTTTCTTTTTTCGTTTTCCATTGTTAAATAAAACAACCCTCTTCAATGGAGTTTCTCATACCAAAGAGGGATGCAAAAATCCGCCAATCTTTCACATGTATAAGATTTCACAACTTCATCAACAATGTCACATCTGAGATAACATTAAAAGAAATAAAAAGTGAGAGCAAAATCTTGTGGCAACAGCTTGAAACCTTTTATCCAGCATCTTGTAGCACTAACCGAGTACAAATAAATGTCACACTTGTTTATCTCTCCATACTCGACGGTTCCTTCAACGAATTGAGTTTTCAAATACTCAATGAAGAGCCTCTACCATCTGCTACAGAAGCTAGGGGAAGAGCAAGCAAAGTGGAGTTCGAAAGGTTGCTGCAAGAGAGAAACAAAAGTAAGTACACCAAAACCGAGTATTACAATAATGCATACTATGGTTTTTGTGCTAAAGTTTTGCAGAGGCTCGAAGAAGAGGCCATGCACACTCAACAAGATGACGGGAACAATATGATGCACTCCGAAGAGGACCAAACACTCACCACTGACAGAATTCCCATTGAGATCAAAGGTTGTATCGATACAAAGACAAATTTTGTTGAACACGCAAAGGTTGAGGAAGTTGCTATAAAATCTGACAATAATAAGATTTTAGACACATGAAATGAGAAAAGTTGAGGGATGGACAGAAAAATAAACTATGGTGGACGACTTCCAAGAGAAACATAATTCCCAAAGTGAAGTGAGGACCAAGACGATAATGCTCCTGCCCAAAGCCATTCGGTTTTCTCGTTCTCCTTTTCATTTCCTATTTAAATCTAATTTGCTTATGTATCTTAGTTTATTTGGGTAGAACGCGTTTCCAAACACCAAGGAGAGCACTTGGAAATTTAAAATTCTTATCTATCATACCAAACAATCCGACATCAATCACACATTTGGTGAAACAGATTTTTTCCTCCTAACTGACAGGTTGTCGACCCTTGCGGGTTTTGCCCTAATTTTATCTAGTCTGAAATATCATACATATGCTATTTTTTCCTCCTAGTTTATATCTGATAATAATTTCTATTGTCAATCAGATTACGAGTCTTCAGATGAATGATGAGCATGATAATAGGTTGTTTCTTTTGTTGTATGATAAAACAAATGGTTTTAATAATTGCCACTCAAACATTTTTACACAATATCATGATTTCACAATATATAAAATTTCTAAAATCTTCTTTGAAATGTTACATGTTTATAGATATGACAGTGAATGTAATCGTTTGGTTAAAGGTAAAACTTATGTTTTTCTCTGTCCTCTTGTTTATAATCCCGTTCTTTATGAGCTAGTTCACAAAACACCAAATCTCAATCTCATTTATTTTTGGAGAATATAAGGTGAAACTTCAAATCAATGTCAAAACACTTTATCTAGTTCTGTTTGATTATAGTCATATTTTTACAACCTTATGTTCGATTTCTTGTGTAAAACAGAGTGTGTTAACCTCCCTTGTGTTATTTAATCGGTTTGATAAGTTTTAGCATACTTTTGGTATGGACTTAAAGAAGAATTTTAGGTGTGAAGAGGGAAAACATGTCCTCACATATGATCAATCCTCAAAACTGCAGGAGCAACAATGGAAGGCTATGAAACACATGGATCTACGCAGCCATGAAGGCATTTGCCCGTCAAGATTGGTTTTTCGAAATATATCAAAACAAATCTTGAGGAGAATGTTGAAGTAAAAGAGAAAGACGGAGATCGGAGTTCAAATCCAGAAACCACAACATGCAGAGATATTTCTGGATCAATGGAGAATCAATTAAGGTACAATCAATAAAAAAAATCATCCACAATATTTGGATACAAATCTGGACAAATCTGCATCAATTACCTGCCATATTCTACCTCAATCAGATCACCCTTACACCTTTCATGTTTCATTTAGTCATTGCATATTACAAGCCGTTGTATAGTTTGATTTATTTTCCTTTTCTCTACATCTTGTATAGTTTATAAAGTGTGTATATATCAGTATGTAGAATCAAGTTACAGTGAAATAAAGTGAATCATTTTGGTTACATCTTTTAACCAATTTCGTCTCATACATTCTGTTTAACATCTTATGTTTCTCATTCAATTTTATAACCCTATATTTACAAAAAAAAATTATAAACTTCGTTCTCAACCCAGGTTTGAGTCCCAATTTTGAAAGAGACATTCATATAGATTTTGTTATTTTTTATAGAAGATGTAGATGAGACAAAGATTCGATAGGATTATAAAAAAAAATAAACCACCTTTTATCTACTCAACATTAACAATTACCACACGGTCTAATGTCGTTTGTACAGTCGAGAAAAGGGAGAAATTCGGTGGAGAAAAAAAGAAAATAAAAATAACGGAGTTGTAAAAAAATGTGTTTGAATGATTTCTTGTACATTCACGAATATTTCCATATACATTCTTATTTACACAAAGCTAACAAATTCTGCAACTGAAAATAACTATATTAACTCTCAAAGCTAATAAAAAGTCAAAACCGTTATTCTACAAACTCTACAAAATGTGCGTCGTCTCTTTTGAAGAATTCTACAAATTCTGTAGTTTCATTTCATGTTCCTCCATTTTTATTTTATTCTCTCGTTTTTTTCTTTTTGGCTTCCAAATTTGATATTTTCCTTAAAAAAAAATGGCTATCTTCTTTAATTTTCCCTTACTGGGCTGAAACGAGGTCCAATAAATAGACGAGCGAACGAAGACGAAGATGGCAAAAAACTCAAAGTTTTAGGTCTCCGGGAAATTTTCCCTCTTCTTTTTTCGTCCTCTCTCCCTTCCTCTTCCGGCTCCGGGTCCCGCGCTGGCTCTTTCCTGTTTGTTTCTCGGGAAACAGACGGAAAATGCTCGTTTCTGTCTTTGACGGTGGATGATTGCTTGCTCTTCCCAGATCTTCCGGCCCATTTATTCCTTGAGAAGAGGTGAAAAGACCTCTCTCTTTTGTTTTCCGTTGGTCTGCTCGATATTCGTTTCTCTCTTGTGAGCTGGGTATTTATTCGTGGAGAATTTGCTTTGAAAATCTCTGTTCTTCTTTCAGTCCATTGATCATGAATTTGGATTTGCATGTTCATACCATGAATTTGAAAATCTCTGTTCTAGTTACCAGTATATTCGCAAATTTGTTCTTCATAAATGCTGACCTTTGTTTCTTGGATATGCCTTAATCGCCTGCAATCTCTCTCTCTCTCTCTCTGATGTTTGGCGTTGATTCAGGTGCTTGGTTTGGTTCTTTGATGTTCTTGATGATGGGAGCAGTCTGAATAATGGAATCCTCGGTCTCTTCTGCTAGATTCAGGAGGGTTTAGGAACTTACTGATACATAGTTTCATGAAAAAGCCCTTGTCTTTCTTTACCTGAGAATCTGAAATCAAATTTCAGTTTTTCAGCCATGGATTCAGACATCACTTTGCCTCCTACATGTGTATTGAAGTGTTGTGATTGTGATTGCGATTGTTCCGTGGTTGCCAGTTCTTCTTCTGGTCTGTGGAACCGAACCGTGAAAAGAAAGTATGAAGAGTTTAAGGAAGGGAACCGATTCTTTTTACCGGGCTTTGATCCATATTCGAATGCTAAGATCCTTGCTGAAGATGAATGTATCGTGTTACGGGAAGCTCTTTCTTGCCAACGGAAAGCAGCAGAAGATTTGTATGTGGAGCTCGAAGAGGAGAGGAAGGCGGCCTCATCAGCCGTGAACGAGACCATGCTGATGATATTGAGGTTGCAGAGGGAAAAGGCTGAGATTCAGATGGAAGCTCGGCAGTTCAAAACTTACGCAGAGGAGAAAATGTCGCACGATCAAGAAGAACTCGTGGGTTTAGAGGAGTTGTTGTATGAAAAAGAGCAGGCTATCGAGGCTCTGTCATATGAGGTTGAAGCATGTAAGCATAGAATGCTAAGCTATGGTTTCACCGAGGCAGAGATACAGGGCGAGAGATTTGGTTTCAGCCGAAACCCTAGCGTGATTGGTGTTGATGCACAATATGATGTATATGCCCATGATTATACCCCTGTAAAATGTAATGTGAACGGTACACCGAGGGCATCAGAGGGTAATGCTGATTTTGGGGGCGTAGAAAAATGTCAATTCCCCGAGTCTCCGAGTGGGCAAGAGCATTTTAAATGTTTGGAGCGGAGGATAAGTCAATTGGAACATGATAGAGAGGATGTCATAGAAAAGATGATAGTTGGTCAGTCTCCTAGATGGCGAGGTCATGCCCGCAGGCTCTCGATGGACAGTTTCGGTTTAAATTCGCCTTTGGGAACCGCGAGAGAATTAAAGGAGACATTTTTCACGGACTCTCCCAGGTCTACTAGTAGCTTCAAGAAGATGGAATCTGTTCATATAGATTCTGCATTGGAAGTCCAGGATGACATGAGTGACCGTGTTTACACAATAGACTCGGTCCATGTTGGAGTTTCAGAGATTGGCATTGATGAGGCTAAGACAACTGGGACCAAGTCTTTCGCTAATTTTTCGAATTCTCCTAGATACCAAGAATCTTTTGTGAATCATCGGGGAGTTAACGAGCCAGATATCGAGAAACTTTTCACGAGGCTTCAGGCACTTGAAGCAGACAAGGAATCGTTGAGACAGGTCATTTTATCTATGCGAACGGACAAAGCCCAGTTGGTGTTGTTGAAAGAAATTGCACAGCATTTATCGAAGGAAATGAGTTCAGACAAGCGAATGCCTATGAGAAAGACGCCGTTTCTTGGAACTTTCTCCGTTGTGACAGTCTTCAAGGTAATTAGATTTTGCTTCTGTTTTCTCATGGCATGTTCCTCGATGCAAGACTGATTTTTTTTTTCCTCTTTCTTGCGTTGTTATTTCAGTGGATCACATCTGTTCTTTCGTGGAAAAGACGAGCAACACAAAAGAAGTAAGTACACCTTGAATTATCTACCTTCCGGTAGAACATTGAAACAATCAATGGTGAAAAAAACTCACCCGTGATGCAGTGTTTCATACTTCGGTCTACCCGCGAATATGGTGTATCTGACTCTTTTAAAAACGTAGAATTTTTTAATGGGTTTCTGTTCTAAACATCTTGCAATTTTCGGGTCATGGAACGGAATGCAGGTACGTGTACAGGGTATCGGCAAATAATATGGGCTTGTTGATGTTCATAGACAAGGGATGTCGGACAAGGGCATGGAAATGTTTCACAAGTACACAAGTCTAGGCATACTGTCTTTAGGACGAGTTGATGTCCTTTGTTTCTCATTTTTATCATGGCAGAAAATGTGGCTTGAACGCCAACCTTCATGTAGTAATCTTCAAACTGCAAAATGAAACTCTGTTTCCAGTTGTGTGTATTGCTGCTTCACAATCAGGTTCATAGGACCGAGAGTACATCAATGTCTAGCCAAAAATTAACAATTACAAACCCTTGGGTTTTGATTAGATTCATTGTTTTGGTGTTTTTAACATACAGCACAATGATAAAAAAACTGAATGGAGGAGAATCACAAAGGCGATAGTGAAACCTTGTAAGATTGCTTGCAGTACTTCAAGCTTTTTAGTTGGCCTGACCGAAGCTGATGGCAAAACGTGGCTCCATGAACACCAAAGGCTTCATTGATTTGTAATGTACCTTCTTCTGCTCGAGGTTCAGTGTCTGTTTTCTCCGAGACTTCTGGAAGAGCTACGTTTAAACCGACTGAGGTTTGCTCGGTCACAAAGCTGAAACTCGACGTTAAACCAGAACATGTTATCGGTTTTTCTGTGAAGAGATTCGGGATTTTACTAAATGAGATTTGTCCATTGGACTAACCTGGCTTCAAAGTCTCGTCCATCAGAACCCACGATAGCGCACATATTGCTGATAATCCATGGGGGAAGATAAGAACCCTTGACCTCGACCATACAGCAATGATCACCTGGTGGGGTTTTCAGAGGCAGGGCACCTGAATGTTCCATCCTTACCATCTCCGTACACTTGATCTAGAGACAAGAGAAATTGTGTATAGTCAAGTCGGTAAGATGAGAAGTGTAGTGACATGAGAGGATGACAAAGGACGGGAACCAGATCACAAATGTTAAGGACTCACCTCGGGAGAGGACAATGCTGCGTTCTGAAAGGGCACCGGTGAGTATAACACAGGAACATCAGCGGTGGGCAAGAATCCCAATGACGACCTGGACATGATCATTGGAAATGCAAAGCAAATGCCGTGAAAGTTATCGTACTGCAAGCTGTATTCAGCACTAAATAGAGGGGGGAAATTTATACCCACCTATAATTTAACAGAAGGTCATATAACCCATGTACGCTCTGGTTTCCGATAAAAGCTAACAAAGACTCTGGAGTATTATCTATGTCAGAGAAAGAACTCCGGCGTCGAGTCTGCATCAGTTACAAGGAGTTAGAAAAGTATATGAAATTCAGAGCACAATCCAAGTTAATCACAGTGATAATTTTAGTGATGTGTTCTTAAGCATCATCAGACATCAAGCAATGTCCTTATCATCAACATAAAACTCTGCTTCCAATATCTTTCACACAATGCCTGTGATTATGATTCAAATCCTAAAAAGGGTACAGCTCCAAAAGGAGCATTGAACCGCTTCTCTCTAGCATATCGATTTTACAGAACGGGTAAATGAATGGAGCACAAACCTGGCCTAAGTTATGTTTCTCTATCTCTGAGAGCTCAACAAGATCTTCAGTAGTGACCTGCTCCATTTTACTTTGACAAAGAGGCATGGAAAAACATATGTCCTATGGAAATAATATTTGAAACAAAATTAGACAAAGTAATGAAGATCGGAGACATTTTAGAGTTCTCACAACATACAAGGTAAACACAATTGGTAACACTCTTCAACCAGAATAATTTCAGACCATCCTTTACTTAAAAAACTGGCATGCTTCAAGTTCTTAAATGTTTGCAGGCAGCAGGCGGACTATGAATCTCATTGTTCTAGTTCAATCAAATATTTTAACCATAGTATCCAGGAGCTATATTTTATGAAGCTTTGCCATAGGAATCTCTAAGAATAGAAGCATCTCTTGCAACATGTCATCTAGTTTAAAATCCACGAATGGCCAGGAATACTTTCAGAAGGCTGCAAACTACAAGCACGCAAGAGGCTGTCATCATCAGAGACATAAAAGCATAAGGTTTTTCTCGTTGTTGCACATACGAAATAAGAAAATAACAATTATGATTTTGAGCGCATTTTCCATCGGAAGCAGCACAATTGCTCTAGTTCATACTCAACATTGCTAAACTTCTACTTTATTTTAGTCCCCCTGAAAAAATGGTGACTAATTTATGAACGTTTTCAGGAAACTATAGTGGCAGGAACCGATGTGCTTCCACGAACTGCATGCTTCCAATTGTACAATCTTTTAGTGATCTCAAAGGATGAAACACACTGAGAATTCACAGGCTAAGTATGCAAGAAATGATCTACAGAAAAGAACTTACTACTGATGCCGTAAAATATAATAGTATGCAATTTCCTGGAATCCAAACTTACTAAAAGAAAGACACATGTGATTAAAAGGGGGGGGGGATCTTACGAGTTCTTTCAACAGGGCTCTCAGTCTTCTAGTTGATTGGGTGATATAGCCACTGCATAAGCGTTTGGTACCCCCATTGCCACCACGAGCAGTGAACATTACCACAAACTGTGAAGTACAGACTGCAAGTAGAATAAAACTGATAATCAATTTCAATATCAGATTTAAGAAAGCTGACTAGACATCAGGGGAAATAAATAAGATAAAGCGACAAAGAAGCCGTTCATGAACAATTAATTATCATATGTAACAGAAGTATTTCATGTGTCAATTGACTTTCAGGCGTCTATGCTTCTCGGCTTCGAGCTAGATTGTCAATTCTCTCTAAATTACAAATCTAAAACTGATGATTTAACAGCAACAATGATCAGACAAGTTCATGGTTCATTCCTCATACCCTAGAACTGTGAATTGAGAATAAAATGCAGCATCATGAATTCTCTGCAGCAAGCTTGAGTTGACCACTGGAATGCATTCAGTACAGAACAATAACTACACAATATATGACACTGCACTTCCAGTGCAATCGAACTTGTCTTCACTAGTATCGAACTTTTTTAAGAAAAGGTTCCAAATCACAGAGACATAAAAGATGATTACCATAAAAAATGTTGCAGAGATTCTTTCGAAACATAAAGTACAGACTTCGAAAAGAGTCCTCCCACGCTGATTGCCGGTCTCTTAAAAAATCAATTTCAGCTGATAGAACAAAATGAGGATGCTTTAACATAATTCAAAAAGATGGAGAGATGGCCGAGAAGAAAGAACAGCTCAAGATTCCAATTAACAAACCCATGTCTTGTCCTGATGCTACCAACGCTGAAATGATAAAGGGTGGCAGAGTGGATTGAGGATGAACCCACGAATGCAGCGCCATGGAATTCAATACCTGAGAAACCACTGTTGATCCAGAACTACTTGTATCGTAATTTTCGGCATTACCAGATCGCGATTTCAACTGTGGCATGCCATTGTAGGTACTGCACATAATTGACCTATGAAGCCTAAAATGTTAAAAAAAAATAGAAAAAACCACAGACTTAATCAAACTGAAAAGAAAACAACAATTTCAAAACAGAAAAGACTACAAAGAAGCCAAGATGCCAAAGGAGAATTTTATCACATAGAGAACTTTATATTCAGCATCATGATCACGTGTTTTGAGTAAAAAACTACAAAGAAGCCAAGAAGCCAAGATGCCAAAGAAGAATAAATCACATTCAACAAAGAATTTACATTATACAGCCGCTATGTGACCTTGCACTTGCTAGTTTAGATGCACATGAATATATAAAATAGCTGAAGACTGACCAATTTACAGGAGAAGTGGAAACAAGTCGCATACAAGTCTTCAGCGATAGGTCCAGGGGAATATTTTGCCCCGCCACATGGAACTCAGACACAAAAGTCCCACTTGGTGTAGGGTTATCAGATTTTCCAGATGACTCACCAATCCGGCCCAGCAATGGTTCACAAGTGGCCAGTGCTTTCAGCGCTTTGTTCTATTGAAAAATGACATCAGCTTACAAGATCAGATATATAACTATCTGATGGTGATCAAAGAAAACCAAATGAAGCATACCATATCAATAGCTGCCAAGTTCGATGATTTTACACCAACAGTTGACAGTTCTGTGACACTGCGAAATCTACTCTGGCTACATGTCTCAATTGATTGATGAGCCTGGACTTTAGCATCATCAGAAGCTTCAGCAGCAGCAGCATTTTCCTGCTCACTGCTAAGACATTAAACCATAAATAAAGTAATAAAAACATAGAAAGCCAGCTTGATCCAAGCAATTATTATGTAGAGGGATTTTACCGCACAAGGTGCTGTCTTTTGTTGGCAGCAACATTTGAAATCAAAGTAACGTTCTTTAGGCAACTGGGTTTCTCTTTGACATTGTTTTCCTATTGCAAAACAAATTAACTAATAAACAAAAGATGAATTGGCCACAAACAGACTTAAAAGATACGATAAATTCACAAAATCAATGGAATAGAGGGTACAAGTAAAATTAGGAGTTGAGAACCTTGGGGTTTTCTTTCCCAGAAAGCATCCAAGACCTAGCCTTTTTTACGGGATATAACTCATCCATACGCATCTCTATGTATTTCGGGTTCTTCAACTGTTCCTGTTTCTTGATTCCATTATCTGTCTCGATAGTCCTGCCAAGATAATCCCATCAACTAGTAAGCAAAATATGCCTTCGAAATTTTGAGGAGCAAATAAATTCTTACCTTTTGCAACCCCGCAGCAATACATCAAATGATTCATTAGCTTGGTCTTTCAGACTACTCCGTCTCAACTGCTCTCCCTGTTTCCGGGAGAAAGATTAATATTTGCATTAGTAAATTTTCAAGACAACCTGCGACTAGATGAGGAAAGCTCCACCATAACAAGCATAGTACTATCCTCACTTCATTTAGCTGACCCATTTAAGCCTTGAACTCACCATTAACAGAACAACGCAAAGACGAAGAAGGACTCGGTGCAGTAAATAAGACTGAAACATTTCTGTAATTAGGGTCAACATGACTGAAGCTATTTTATGTCAGTTGACTATATCCAGAAACACGGCACCTAGATTCGTTATTTTCTCCGTTTTTTTTCACAAAGGAAGACGAAGAAACTTACTCTCAGCTCCGAAGGCGTCTTCCTCCTAGCCATTGGCGCAACCTTCGCACCTCCACCAATCTGAAGAGAACTCGAATCCAAAGCACCGGGAGCAAGTACTTTCGTCATATCCGACGAGATTTAGCTTCCTTAACCATCAAAAACATCTAATGAAACCCCACTCAGTGAATCGACACAGCAATTCCAAACCCAAAAAGTTGGAAACTCATCTAAACAACATAAAATGCTCATTGACAAATCGAAGACTGATAATGCAGATGATGAGCAGAGAAGGATAGAATCTACTTGAAAACCCATAAAAACAAACCTATATCGAGCTTACGCGAAGATTGCGGACCGATTCGCCGTATGAGATTCTTGTTTTGCCCCAATCCGATTCCAAGTGCTAGGGTTTCGAAATAGATTCCACTGCAATATCGATCGGATCAGAGCAAAATGAGAGAGAGAGAGAGAGAGAGGCGGGAGGAGCAAAGGGCGAAAAAAGAAGAATGGAAATAGAGGAATTTTTCGAGCTCCCCATTTGAAAGGATTTGGGATTCCCTCCCTGTAGCTAACGCCGTTAACCCTGAAACGTTAAATCAAACGGTTCGCTTTTTTTTTTTCCTTTCGTTTTTTTTTAACTGTAAATACAAGGCAGAGTTTGATGGGCTTTGTGGATCCTATCTGTTAGATTTAGCCCCCAACCTATTGATTTATTGGGCTACCACTTTGGATTTGTGTTACTTCGTACCCCGATCTCCTTGCGAAAAGGCCAATCTGCGTGTGAGCTGTTTAGTATATGATTAGGGCGAGTTTTGAAAATTTATAACCAAAGAATTATTTTGATTTGAATCATTTGGTTCGATTATAATAGCAAATTAAACAAAATTTAAAATATTATTGAAAAAAATGTTGAAGACCTTATTTTAATTATAAACCATAATTATAAAATTATATAAACAATCTCATTATGATAATTTTTCTAATTACATATAATATATATTACATATTAATCGATGATATATAGATGTTATATTTATTTTATTCGGATATATTATTCAGATTCAGTTAATTAAGATTTTAAAAATTTATAATCAAACGACTATTTAATTTCAGTCGGTTGGAATAAAAATTTAGTAATTAGTGCAAATGTAATCAATCATAATACTTGCGAATAATTTGTCTTTAGTAAGGTAGCCACAAAAATCCCATGCATGCATGCATGCTAAGAACATTTTCTTCCTCGTCCTCCTTTCGTCTCGAGTTTCTCTCATTCTCCTTCTTCTCCTCCCTTTGAATCTGCCTCATATCATCAAATCTTCGCCGAGGCTAAATTCTTCGTCCACATTTTCGTTGAATTTCTCCGTCGAATTCGAATATTTTCATCTCCCGGTTTTCCGGGGAGGAGCTAAACGGAACAGATCGGTTCCCGAACCGGTTGTTGATCTCCGATATGAAGCGCGTCTAGGGTTTGATCGAGTTCTACTGATCTTATTTCACGGAGGAGGAACCGGAAATCCGATGGATTCGTCGATTCTAATGGCGTTGGTGAATGGCATGGTTGTTTGGCGTAGGAGACATATGGAGGCGACGAGAAGCTGATAGAAAAAGAGAGAGGGAAAATATAAATTAGGGTTTCGAGATTGGGGAATTTTTGGATGGGAAACACATGCGTCGGTCCGAATCTGAACGCTAATGGATTTCTGCAATCTGTTAGTAACGCCGTTTGGCGGAATCGGCAGCAGCCGGAGGGGAGTTTACCACCGAACAACAAGGACGATCATAGTAGCCGGAAACCGAGCGACAAGAGCGTGAATTGCGAGGATCGTCAACCTGCATGCAGCGGCTCCGCCGTAGCCCCGGCTCCGATTCCAACTCCAACTCCGGAGTCTGTACAGAGCACGCCGCCGGAGCCCGTGAAGATGTCCAATGGAGTGAACAAAAGTGAGGAAGGAAGCAAGACGGCAGAAAACAGCGACGCGGACGCGAAACAGAAGAAAGAGGTTCAGATGAAGCGAATGGCGAGTGCTGGTTTACAAGTCGACTCGGTTTTGGGGAGGAAGACAGAGAATCTGAAGGACATTTACAGCGTCGGGAGGAAATTAGGGCAAGGGCAATTCGGAACAACGTTTCTATGCCTGGAGAAGAAAACAGGGAAAGAATTCGCCTGCAAAACGATTGCAAAGAGGAAATTAACCACACAGGAGGATGTAGAAGACGTAAGACGAGAGATTCAGATAATGCATCACTTATCTGGTCATCCGAATGTGATTCAGATCGTTGGTGCGTATGAAGATGCTGTTGCAGTTCATGTCGTGATGGATCTCTGTGCAGGTGGAGAGCTCTTCGATAGGATTATACAGAGAGGGCATTACACTGAGAGGAAAGCTGCTGAACTTGCTAGGATTATAGTCGGTGTTATTGAAACCTGCCATTCCCTCGGTGTGATGCACAGAGATCTAAAGCCCGAGAATTTCTTGTTTGTCAATGGCGATGAAGAGGCCTCACTCAAGACTATAGATTTTGGTCTCTCGGTATTCTTCAAACCAGGCATGCCTCTCTTATGACTTTACACTAGTTGATATGTTTGTTACTAGCAAAACTCACCAAACTGATGTTTGGGAGTGGAGAAAACGCAAGAAAGTGCAAGAAACTCGGAAGAAAAATAGAGTAGAGATGTTACTGGGAAGAAAAATAAAAGTCTCTGTTTAAGTGTTAACATGTTACAATACATGTTACATTGTGCTTAGTTGTTTGTGAAAACACGACATAGTTACATCGATCCTCGAACAGAGATTTGATCTTTCAGTAGTTGAGATCATCGATTGCTCCGGTGGGTTGCTAACCATCGACGACATATGTATAAAGATATAGTTCATCTCCATGAATCGCGTCCCGGTTGATTTAGTAGATCTCCTAATGGCATATACATATAGAACGAGGATAACTAAGGAAACACAACTATATTCCACGTGAAACCATGACCTAATGTACTTTTCCTTGCAGGAGAAACATTCACTGATGTAGTTGGGAGCCCTTACTATGTGGCTCCTGAAGTGTTACGGAAGCATTATAGCCATGAATGCGATGTTTGGAGTGCAGGAGTTATCGTTTATATTTTGCTGAGTGGAGTTCCTCCATTCTGGGATGGTAAGAAATGCAGACAGACATGCAATGCTTCTGGTATGTTTTTTGATGATCTACAGATGATCGAAATCTAGACTGATTGGCATTATAAACATATCAGAAACGGAGCAAGGAATCTTCGAGCAGGTTTTGAAGGGCGAGCTTGACTTTATATCAGAGCCATGGCCTAATGTATCAGAGAGCGCAAAAGATTTGGTGCGAAGGATGCTGATCAGAGATCCTAAGAAGAGAATGACAGCTCATGAAGTTCTCTGTGAGTATTCTTCTTCCATTGAGCTTATCTTCCTCATGTGAATTGGCACTAAACACAGAGTTAATTATGCGGCACGTGTGCGTATATATATGGCAGGTCATCCTTGGATCCGAGAGGACGGTGTGGCTCCTGATAAACCTCTTGATTCTGCAGTCTTAAGTCGTTTGAACCAGTTTTCAGCCATGAACAAGCTCAAGAAAATTGCTATCAAGGTGCACACTTCTATATTTTCTATCAACTGAAACCAAAAAGTAACTCGAATCTGATTAGCCATATGGAACAAAGCATATATTATTCCCTCTTTGTAGATGTCTCAGCTAGTTGCATGAATTATTCCCTTAAAAAAACCCTTTCATTGATCAATCTATTCTGCGGAACTCGCTCGGATGTATTCAGGTCATTGCTGAGAGCCTCTCGGAGGAAGAAATAGCGGGATTGAAGGAGATGTTTAAGATGATAGATGCAGACAATAGCGGGCAAATCACTCTCGAAGAACTGAAGAATGGCCTTGAGAGAGTGGGTGCCAACCTTAAAGATTCCGAAATCATAGGTTTAATGGAATCAGTAAGTCCCACCTTTCTCTTTTGGAAACCTTTTGCTTCTTCTCTTCCTTTTTCGATCAAACACAACGGTGAAGGCACAATGTATGCAAGATGTTCTTTTCGCTGCAAATTCATACTTGAACTGGCTATTTACTAGAGACAGGGCAGTTAAACAGAGTGGGAAGAGCTATATGATGAACTCGGGTCTAGATATTTCTGAAGTTATACAAAAAATGACTCGGACTGCTCATGCATTTCAAGAGTTTTCAATCATTTGCTAAAATAAAGTGTCGAGATTTCTTATTTACTGTTACTCTTGCTCATAATAAGATCTTGCGTGGCTTTGTAAATCTTTTAGGCGGATATGGACAACAGTGGAACAATAGACTACGGGGAATTCATAGCAGCAATGGTGAATCTAAACAAGATCCAGAAAGAAGACCACTTGTTCACAGCCTTCTCATACTTTGACAAGGACGGTAGCGGCTACATCACCCGGGACGAGCTCCAACAGGCATGCGAGCAGTTCGGCTTAGCAGATTTCCATTTAGATGACATCTTGCGTGAAGTCGACAAAGACAATGTAATTCATATTACAAACACCCTCTTCTCTCTATGTTTCTCTGATCGTAGTATTGAATCATTTCTTATATGAATTGCTGTGTTTTCATCTTCAGGATGGACGAATAGATTACAGCGAGTTCGTGGACATGATGCAAGACACTGGATTTGGTAAAATGGCTATGAGAATGACATGAAAAGGCCATCCAATCTCGGTTTTGAACGTCAGTACATCTGGAAATTGCTCGTCGTATACACGGTTGATAGCTTAAATTGTATGCTAATATTGGTATTTTACTCGTTTCATCGATCATTTTCTTCCCTTTTTTTCTTTCGGTTTTCGAACATTAAGCTCCTATCTCTGTGAAAATCGGCATAGTTTCTTGCGCAGGTTTCTTCAGTAGTTTTCGGCTTCCTTTTGTGTTCAGCTTCCAATTTGTATTGACTGGCCCCCCTTTTGTTTTAGGAAATGGATCATAGAGTTCTCATTTAGAGAGGTACAGATACAATGTTCTTGTTGTTTGCGTCTGTTAGTTTTGTAACAACTGCAATATAGTTTAGAGGAAGAGATGAACAATCACATCAGAATGTTGGTATTGAGATGCAATGCAAGTTTATTATTAGCTTTGGGATTCTGAGGCCGACGTTGAACTTATGTGATTAGAGGTGATCAATTTGATTAATAATCGAACCGATCTAAACCGAAAAATTCTATTCAAACCAAAATGAGTACGATTCTTCTAAAATTGAAAAACCGGAACCGGAAAGAAGGAAAATTGCTTTGAAAAAGAGTATTTTTTATCAATAAAAATCGAAGAGAAACAACTACAAACTGAACCGAATTCAATATAAAAGACGAATTATTATAGTTTTCTACCGAAATCATCGAATTCAAATATAAATCGGATTAAACCTAAACTGAAACTCGAAATGATCTCCCCTATCCCTATTCATGGTGCCAAGGGAACATTGTTACCATGTTTCAGGAAGGCTCTGAGCTCTTGTTTTGTTGTGATCCCATTGTTTACGAAGAACATCTACTCCTCATCATTTTAAAAGATCTGAGTCCACATCACCATCAACATCATCATCACCATCGTTATCCGGTTTACATGTGACCAAACACATCGTAGCAATTCGATATTGATCCCGCCAATGAACGATTATCAGGAATTTTCCTATTCCAAAATAGGACGGTTTTTCTCCGCCCGAACCCTCCAGATGATTCAGAAGCTTATTAGCTGCGAACATACTCGCAAACAGATGGCATGACATGTGTTGTTTAGGAAAATCAGTCTCGAATGTTGTTCTTCCGCTTTGCACTTTTGTTATCCACTAGGCTAGGACCCGCGCGATGCGCGAGTGATTACTGATTTTATGTATTTAATAATATGTTGAAATTAAATCTATTTTAAAATTTATTTATAAATTATAGAGTTTATACTGAGTAAATGAATTTGTGTATATCCTAGATTTTTAGCATTTATCGTAATGCGTTATGTTGCAAGATTGAAGTAATATTGTTAACGATAAATATTAGGAGTTGTAGTTTTAAGGTTAAATATGTGTATACTTAGGTTCCTTTTTAATGAGTTGTTACGCGATGTTTGTCGAATGTGTTCAAACTCGTACGCATAATAAATAAAACCGTAATTCTTATATATGATTATTTTAATAGGTTTGGAAAACATTATAATTTATATATGGTGTTTTGGAGTTCTATAATATATATTTTTGACAGGTCAGTGAATGTATAAATGGGTTGTGCATGTCTATAATAAACTATATGTTTAGTTATTCCATTTAAACTGTATATAATTTATTGATGTCAATATGTAAATAATGAGATAAATAACTTGTCTGATATGGAGAAATTATAATCATACAATCGAATTAATATAACATCATGATATTTTATGTTGAAGAGGTAAAGGAGTGATGAAACATAAATGTTTTGCGTAGTTGATGTGTCGGTTTGATGTCGTGGTTGTGTTATGATTGTCTTCTGTTCCGCTGCCTGATGTCTTCAATATCTGGTAATAATTTAGTGTTTAGATAACGGATAATATAAATTTGTAAATCTTGTATATAATATTCGTTTGAGTATTGAGGATGAGATTTATATACCTTTGTCGGAATTTTTTGATGATGTCGAGGTTTTCATCTATATAAATCTTTGTAGATGACGATGAGTTGAGCGATAAAACACCTGTTTTATAAAAAAAATGATGTTTAATACTTTAATTTTATTGATGAATGTATATATAAAAAATCTATAAAACATGTGGTGTTTTAAGAAGTACCGTCGAGAATCTTTGGGATTACAGCAGTAACAACCATGATGCTCCTTCTGATATTCAACTTGTCCATTTGTGAACGAATATAGGCTGCAGGTTCATCCCAAATTGAAAGTTTTACGATTTTTTTGCTGTATATTAGTTTGAAAATACATGTTAATTTGATTTCTAAAAAATGGGTTGGTAAAATGATAATAAGTGCAATGTAAGGTAATAGTTCTAAACTTACTCTTTTAATAATAAACGGAGAATGATTTTCTGAGTCGATGATGACAATCGTAGATTTTATCCTTGTACTGAGGCTACCACTCCAACAATATCTGCAATATGAGAGAATATATTGAATATCATATATATATATATATCCATTAATCGAGTATATTTCACAAACCTGGTAAGTCTTCTTTTTTGTGTGCCAATGCCAACAAATCACAGTGTAGACGGATTCGAAATTTCTCTGTGGCAATATTGAAATTGGTAGCATCTACTTTTTTAACAGAAGTATGTCTCATAAAACAAATACGAAATTTATTATCTGTTAACTTGTATGTAGTTTTATTTGGTAAAATTTTAAAATGGGTTATTTCGAATATATCTATATCATTTATTATGTTGCTATATGTTTCTGCATGGTTTTGATAAATTTTTCCTTCAACAACATCAGCCTGCAAAATTGTAAGTCGGTAAAATAAGAGCTCTTATCATAATAAATATATGCAAAAGAAAAATCAGGATAACGAACATTTTCATCAATTAGTAAAAAATCAGTGACACCGAATGAACTTCCATGGAAATGATTTTTTTCATCCCATATCCTTAGAAATCTTGCCGTAATAAACTGGTTACTTTGAATGCTTTTCCACTATTTCATTTTCATGGGAGATGATGTCGTTGGGGAGTTCTGTTTTGAAGAATCCTACAATGGCGATAATTTAACAAATCAATATACTTTTTACTGTATAATGAATTTATACATGAGATCATAAGATTATAACATTGGTTTTACCGGTATAAAAGATGTACTTACCCATAAAACTTGTCGAAACGTCCCTGTAAAAATAAAAAAAAATGATTAGTAGATTAAAATATTTTTTTTATTTTTTAAGTGGATATTGGTATATTGTGAACGGTTATCATAAATTTTTTTTCTAATACAACTCTATTTCATGTTCTCCAGTAATATATTCTTGATTGTAAATATTATATTATGTGCATGATTGCATGATTTTATTACATGTTGTAGCTTCTTACATCTATTTGGTAATAATATTCGTATATAAACTGTGTAATATGAGGATATTAGTAGTTACATCTAACCTTATTATGTTGGTAGTCCGTTGAAGATTTCTCTGTAGACAATGTTGTGGACCTCATATTTGTCACCGTAACTGTAGGATTTTTAATCCGCTTGCAGAGGTAACACGGGAGAGAGTAACATACAACTGCCCATGACTAAAGACCGGTCGTGGCAGATATAGAGCAACTTGTTTAAGACTTTGTCCTTGACTTTTATTTATTGTCATTGCATAGCATAATCTTATTTGGAATTGCCTCATGCGTAATGTGAATGGATGTCTTGAATCTATTAGGGATAATATTATTCTAGGAATCAGTACCTTTTCCCCAATGTTTGCTCCGGTTAGAATTTCTGCCTCCAAAACTCTTTTGCCTAAATGAATAATAATTAGACGTGTCCCATTGCAAAGTCTTTCTTTTTTGTTGATATTTCGTAACAACATCACGGGCACTCCAATCTTCAGATTCAAACGATGACTTGGTAATCCAGGGAACTCTAGAGTATTTAGATATTCAATGGGGTACAATGCTTGCCAATCAGTTGTTGGAGCGCTATCAATTCCAATGCTGTCTGAGCTCAGATATTCTGTAGTTTGTCCTGGAATTTTGGAGAGCAGAAAGACATTTATTTCATCAACACTCTCATTTCTAGGTGTTAAGATTGCCTGTTCTTTAAGGTACTGATGATCTAACTATGAGTTTAGAAACCGTGGATACGCAGCTGTTGCAAGTACTGACAGAGGGTCATCTGTACTTTGTAGCATTAAGGCTTTGTCCATTAGAATTCGATCTGCTTCAGCTAGTTCATCAGGATTCATATCTCTATGATGAGCCGTCATGTTTCCAACTTGTAAGATCCATTCTGCAAATTCTTGTTCAACTCCGTTAAGTCGTAAGTTATGTCGTAAGATATAGATAGCACATGATGCCCATAGATAGGAACGATGCCATGTTGCTAGCACTGTATTTGCACGTCCTCCTTGTTTTACCACTGGTAATATCTGTCTAAAATCTCCACCTAGCAACACAGTTTTTCCTCCAAATGTCTTCTCGGCGACTGATTCATCAGTGAGGGACATAAGATCTTTCATTGTTCGGTCTAATGTCTCGAATGTGTGACGATGTACCATTGGTGCTTCATCCCATGTGATCAATTCAGTTCTGGATAACAATTCTGCCAACATAGTTCCTTGCTTTATATCGCATGTTGAATTATCATCGACATTTAACGGGATTTTGAATCTAGAGTGAGCTGTTCTGCCACGGGGTAGAAGTATTGCTGCAATACTCGACGAAGCCACTGGTAATACAATCCTTTTCTCTGATCGTAACTTCGCATTTATTGTTTTGTATAAGAACGTTTTCCCCGTTCCACCAGCTCCATATACAAAGAAAAGTCTTCCTTTTCCGTTGTCAATAGAATCAACTACAGCATCATACACCACTTTTTGATCTTCATTGAGAGAGGCAAACAATTTTTTGTTCTTCTTTCTCCCATTGCTCATCAAATTACAATTACTCTCTCAACAGAGTGTTCTCGATTTGACCGAGCATACTTTTATCAGGTAACGACATGTTTGGAAAATCACACAATGATTTATCACTTTGTCTCAATAGTTTCTCAACCTCTGTAAGAGTATATTGTTGTAGCTCATTATCTGTCAGCTGCAAATCAGGAAAATTGAATTCCTTTTGCTTCTTGTATTGTATATCATCAGCAAGTGATTTCCAACACTTCTCCCATAGTTTATGTGGCTCTACGACTTCACAATATATTAGAAGTGTAACAAATAGATTTCGCAGTTGGGCCTCGGTTACCCATGTCGCTGCCTCATCTATTGCCTCACTCCATTCATTGTCTCCACCCAGTAATCCTCTAGCTTGACAAACATCCTTGAATGTCTTGTATTTAACCCCATCAACTGTATAGATTTCGTCATAATTGCACGGTCCTTTTATGACGTTGATTAGCATCCTTAGATAGTAAAGCTCCCCAGCAGCTGGATGGATGTTTACAACTCTTCCGATGGTGAATCCTTTCTTCCTCTGAGTCCATTTTTTACCAGTGCTATTCCATACGTACATTGTTTGGAATTCAACACATGTTAAATGCCTTGTTTCTTCATACTCTTTGTTTGTTTTCATCCATTCTGTAAACATTGTATCCCGTGCGCCTGGTCGTGCCATAACGTTTTCAAGATCTGTTGAATCATCAAATATCAAGCTTTGTTTATTTGGGGGATGTATCGGTAATCTTGTTACCGAAGTTTTTTGATAATGTATGTGAAAGGACAGTATTCTCCACACAGCCTCACATGCCGATAAGTAGCGACACTCTAGATAGTCATTTATCTCATTTATCTGATGCACTCTGTCTCTGATGTTATCTGTCCCCTGTACTGCAATTGTACCTTTCTGAATAAGGATGGTTGGTCGATCCACTCCTTTTGTGATATACTTAAACAGATATTTGATTGATCTAGATTTACTGCACCATTCCACATTGATGTGAGCCTTGTATTTCTTCAGTAGCTCTAAATTATGTGGGACCACAAAATGGTTGTCTAATTTTATATCTCCTTTCATCACAGTGGACGCATCATTCCGATGACGGTATACGATATATCCTGATTTATCGACACTTGTATATTATGTGTAAGGTCGTGGATATTTTTTCGTGCACATTCCTTTCTCCATACACGGGGAGCGTGGTCTGTCTAGACCGCAGGGACCATGCATCATATGTTGTTCAACTAATTTGAATCCTTCGAAATCGGTTACCTTGTCCGACAACTCTGCTGAAATAAATTTGTCGATATCATTTGTCATAGGGGTCTTGTACAAAGGATCCAACCATACAAGTATATGAGCATGGGGTAAACCTCGTTTTTGGAATTCCACGGTGTATATCACTGCAATTATTATAGTGTAATGGATACACAAAGTTAGTATAATGGTACAACCAAAAATAATATGTATCATTTTATATTACAATTGCTTTAAAACTTATTATTATACCTGCAATTGGCTTTGGAAAAAAATGCCTCCATTCAAATCTGTTAATATGTCATCTAATTTCATCTTGAATACGCGACATTCAATGTATGGCCTATCGTGTGCAGATTCACCGCCATAGGCTTTTAGATGATCAGATATCTCTTGCCATTTTGGATTTGCCGTCACTGTGAAAAATAGATCTGGGTTCCCAAACCATCTACAGATAGCCATTGCCTCATGGTAATTTTCGACCATGTATCGTGGGCCGCCAGTGAAAGAAGGCGTTAAAATTATCCTTTTTTCCAACACTTTTGCATTTGTGTCTCCCTTATCTACTGCATCAAAAACATTATTATAAAGATCCACCCTTAGGATCTTTTGGTTATTTCTGGCCCATCGGATTCTTTCTTGCTCAATTGTAGTGTATGCATCAATAACATACTGTTGAAATAGACGACCAGCTTTTACAATTGTCATTCCTTCAGATAATCGTGTATGTATCTGGTATGCATAGAATTCCCTTATGGTAACAAATGACCTCTTAATCTTGTTTCTCTCATCTTCGTATGGAATTTCATCATGGAAGCCATACTGACCGTAAGGAAATAATAACGGATATTGTAGACTCATAAACAATGGATGGAAATCGCTTACTCGGTACAAATGATTGGAGGGTTTGAGCTGTAATACCACATCTCTTTCACCAATCATTGCTGACATATCACCGACAATCAAACCAGCAATTTCCTCATTGGTTGGAGGGTCGAATTGCTTACCACGATGTTTTTGTTGTACCAGCTTTATTGTAAAATCTGAGATTTCGCCTGATTCGTACCGATCTCTTGCCTTTCTAAATATCTTTGCAAGACAATTAAAATCATCCATCATCCGAATTGCCTGTGACAATTTTCTCATCTAAATCTCCAGCACTTGATGTTCCATTGAGTGTACTCATACGATTCTGAACCTCATTTGCAGTATCATATATATAAAGTTGGGCAAATTGGGGCGGTCTTCCTTCAGCCGGTAACAAAGAACCTATTTGATGATGATTTTGTCCGTGGATTCTAAACGTATAAGGTCCATTTCCTGATGTTACCGATTGGTCGATCTTCGCACCAATTGAGATGAATGCAAGAATTGAGTTATAAGCTCTAACATTCTTGCGAAATGAAGCTGAGTTTCTGTATAACTCTTCCAGGAATATGGGAGGATCTTGCACTGGAGGCAGTTTAACTCGACCTTGCATGCAACATATGTTATACAACAGATTGCCGATGCGACCATCTCTGCCAATACTCTCTTTTTTCCAAACTAATGCCTTGCCAGTATGAACACTGAAGGAGATCACCAGCAGTAGAGTTGGTTTGGAAGACTTTTCCTATTTCATTTAGTTAAAATTAGTGTGATGGATACACCTACTTGATGAATAAATATGAGTTTAAGTAACAATTTGTGAACTGTTATAAAGAATTTTTTTTTAGAAAAGAAATATTTTTTTTGTTTAAAAATATTGTTATATAAGGGAAAATAGTTTTTTTATCTCAAAACATGAATTTTGTTTATCCCATGTAAAACCCTGAATTTTTAAACTTGTATCCAATAGAACCCTCACTATTAACATAGCAAAGAGGGGGGAAAATGATTTTGGAGAAATCTTAAAATGATAACAATTTATACGTTGGTGTGACATAAATATATAATTATGTAAGGATACATAATTTTGACAAAATGTAATTGTGTCGCTCATTGGGTGATATAATTTGGTTTAGAAGATTTTTTTCTCTTGCAATAAACCACATAATATTTTCCTTTAAAACTTTGATTATATAATGTTTAATTTTTAACATGACACTGTAATTGATATTTGGATTGATATATTCTAAATTGAAATATGTGATCTGTTCAACATGTACATCGTAATATGTAACTAAAGTTTTACAATTACTGTATAAAGTCTACCTTAATTATATGAACACTTCAAAACTGAAACATAAAATTCAAACCTTTTTTATATTGCATTGCATGCTTGGCCAATACAATCGCTTGTCTTATGCTACGTCTCTTTGCACATTCCGCTGGAATAAATTATTTAGTATTTTAAATTAAACTGTGTTTAACAAACTGTCGAATAAGAGGGAATACATAATATTTTATTTAGTTATATATAGTGGGTTTTTAAAGACACAATCATATATATATATATATATATATATATATAATGATACCTGTAGTATTTTTCTACATTGTGGATGAGATTGGATGTATTGGATCAACAACCATAAGATACTTGTCGGCAAGCCATGAACGACATTCAATATAATCCCGCAATACACCTATGATTAAAAATAAATAATTAGAAATTGAGTTGTGATTAAAATTTTATAATTAATAGTTATTTAGAAATATAACAAACTTGTTTCTGTTCTGCTCAATATTTGGTGATTACGTGACGTGTTTGTTATGGGTTTCCGCATGTTTACAATCCTTAATCGAGGACAAGTGCAAACAGATAATTTAACTGAAAAAGAAAAATAAACAATTAAGATACACCAATATATGCCAACCTAGACAAAGATATGAATTTGTTTCAATATAAACAAAAAATTTAGCCATTACTTAGAAAACGTTAGAATATAAGCTTTTAAATAAAGTGGCAGAATATATCTAAACATGAACATTCCGAATTGATACAACAACAAAAAAACTCTCCGTCGGAATAAATGCATAGCAAATGTCGACATCAAATATAGAATATTTGGTTAGAGAATATTAGGGGTAGCTATTTTCAAAGACACAAAGCTAGAAATTAAAATCAGAAAATATTATGGTTTAAAATTCTAGGTCGGGGTTTATATGAATTTAGTTTCCGACATTTTTTAACATATATTCATATTACATATAATGTTTCGTATTAAATAAATTTACTGTATTTTATTTGTTTTTTTAACTTATTGAATGTAATAATACAATTCATTATAGAGCGAATTTCAAGAAAAAATGATTCGTAAAGAGAAGACATATTATTGTTACCAAAAAAAGAGAGAAGATAGAATATTATTGAGCCGTTTTTTATGTCGATATTTGTAAATATAGAATATAAAAGTATTGGTGCTTACATATATCATACTTCAGACAAACGTAGATGTCCAGGAAGTGGAGATGAGGGGAAATTATTTGATTAAGTGTAATATTTCATGTATTTAAAAACGATGAATCCAAGCCGATGCATGCATGATGAAAATCGGAATCTATAAAGCGTTTTAATATCGAAACATAATAAACCTAAATCCGATGTAAACCAGAATTAACATCCAAAAAACCGAAAATAACAATCCAAACAACGATATTGAAACTTACCCGCAAGATATAAGAAACCAGTTAGTTAAAAAAGAAAAGCACAAATATGCGAAGAGCAGTACACGATGTTGTTGGTAGAAGTACCAGTTGGAAATGGGTCGACAAAATGATGCGCAAAACAAAAGAATTTAATTTTCTAGATCCCTCGCATTGACACACACATATACATAATAATGTATAGGCAATATGTTAATTGATCTATTGCCATAAAAAAAAGTCCATCCTACACTTTTGAATTTCATATAAAAAACTGATTGTATATTAAATACGTAATATCTTATTTTGTGTCTCATCATTTATCTTGGTTTAATATTAGATTTAACTTTCCATTTCTTGATTTTATTTCAAATACATCCATGATTTTAGGCGCGATATTATCTTAGTGGCATTTTACGTGTGTCAGCTCCTTGGATTCTGGGATGTTATAATCAAAAGTATCTCATAATATTAATAATTTAATCCATGCCAGTGGAGAAGTTATATTATCATGAGCATGCGACAATATTAAAAATAACCTATAAAAAATAAAATTACTACTCATAACAGTAAACCAAATATACTTGGAAAACAAAACCTTAGTCCGACAGTTATCATTGAAAATGCATATAAGTTCAAAATCACAGATCTACAAATATGAAAGCCAAGGTGAAGTGAAAATTTATCCGAGAGAATAATGATTTTAATTGAAGCGTTGCTTTTTTCCAGCTCTTTTAGCATCATGAGATTCATCGATGTGTTGGGAATCTTCATCGATTTGTTGGGAATTTTCTTGTGCAATGTCCTACAGTAATTAATGCAAAGATAACAATAACATATATGTAGTAATAAACTTTTTAACAAAAATATTTATCTTATTACCTGTGGGGTATTTGCTCCTGTAGTTTTGCACTCTTTGGATCCAGAAACATCATCAAATATGTGTGACATGGTGAAAGAATGATGTTTTGTTGAGAAATTATACGGTGTCACTTTAATTTGGAATGATAATTGTTTTCCGATGATATTTTCAAGACACTTCGGTAAATTTGTGGTATTTTCGGTGTCAGATAGATGAGTGACCTATGTTTGGAACACATGAAAAAAAATTAAATACATAAATATTATATTAATATTCTGCGTGATGAATAGTATACGAAAAGAAAAAATATTAAATGAATTTAAAATATAAAAAATAACTTACGTTAGTTTCAATTGTTTCTAAAGCACGTACATTAAACAATTTAGTCATATCTCTATCAAAAACAGTGAAGAAAGTGGTATCTCTACCATCATCAACAATTAACTCAACGCGAAACCTATTAAAATGAAATTATAAGACATATATCAATTGAGAACCATTGATACAAAATAATTACGTTTTAATAAATATTATTAACATAAATACCTTATCACTCTGACTGCGTTTGTATCTTGACAAACCAAAGATGATGATGCTCTCGCCAATTTTCTAGAATATTTTCCGCATCCAATATAAGTCCAACCATTTTTGGTGGCAACACCAGTAATTGTGGCCTTACAAATAAAATCTGCTTCCTATATTAAAATAAAAAGATTAGTTAAATAGGATTGTATTTTGAATTATGCATATGATTAAAAACAGATTAAATATCTTTACATATGTAAATAAATGTACCTGAATTTTTGATATTGTAATAAAATCACACAATTCTAATTCTAATATAGAAACACTCTCCGTTTTCATAATCGTATGAACGGACTCCTCGATCTTTAAAGATTCATCGATGTTATCACTAAACCTGCGTTAAAATATTATGATATAATCTCATAAAATTTTGATAAAAAAAGAAACAATTTAATAAGATATACATGTTTATAAATCTCTTGATTGCATCAACTTCGTCATAAAAAAAATCTGGACGCAGAGGTGATATTTAAATATAACATGCATACATCATAAAAAAAACCATTGTAACACTTTTGATTATTAATTGTGATATTTTTCTAATAAAAAAATATTTGTGGCAAATAAATTTTCTAACCTTTACAAAAAATAACAAAAAATTTTGTGTGTTTTTGTCGGTGTATTTATACGCCATGAGCAAATACAAATGCAAGCCAATGGAAATAAATACCAACAAAATAAAAATACTACGTCAGACATAGACCCCAAAACCTATAAGCATATTTTAATATTAAATAAATATATATGGACTCGTACATCATTTTTTTAATGTCCGGAAAGGAATGCTCTTAGGTTGTTTGTATAACAAATGAATGTTTATTTCCAATATATATACACATGGACACATTCATATTCACAGAAAATATATTATATAAATATATATGGTATTCGTGTAGGATGATAGCAATAAATAAAAAATATAAATAACAATAGTGTCGATAAATAAAAATAAAAATAATTTATAAAATTTTACCTCCAACAAATTTAGGATTTATATTGGTCACCAAAATGACTTTAGGTTGTATACCCGAATTAGTTAATTTCAAACGGAAATCTCCAGCTTTCATATCCCATGCATTAACACGAATATCTTTGGTACTACAATATCAGTTAAACATATTCATCAAAAAACATATTAAAAACGGAAATTTAAATATAACACTCATATGTAATAATGAAAAAAATAATTACACAATACTATATATTTATTTACCTTGTCATTTGGAGATCGACAACAATCCTTTCCTCCTATATATCTTTGATGTTTCGGACGCGACCAATAACGTCTTCATTTAGAACAGAGTACTAAAAACTTAGTATCATGGAATATGGTTGTTGAAAATTTAAATGTAAATAGCAAGAATAATATTAGGGGTGAAAACATAAGGGAAAAATATAGCATTTCACCTGGAAACTCGGCATTTTTGTTAGCCAAAGCTATCAGCTCACTGTAATCACGAAATCTAAAAAACTCTGTAGATATCTGGATAGATGTATCGCTAGCTTCAAAAATATTTGTTCGTTCCGTAAACCGTAATGACAAATTGAAATCGGTTAGTCTAAATTGTTGAGTAGCCCTGACAACTTCGAAATCAGTAATTATGTAAATGTGGCTTTCATGAAGATCATTTTTGTAGGTTCCGATACGTTGCCTATTTATAGAGCCATGAAGTACATTTGACTGGAAAAGAAAAGAACATAATAAGATAAAAATGGTATAAATTAAATCACATATAATTTGATTTTAAAATATATAAATTTGAAAAATATATAATTGTGTTGATCGATATACCTTTTCGTCAATGAGGAGAAAATCAAGGCTCATAAGCTCTCTATTTTTTTGGCATTCCTAGACTCCCAGAACCGTAACAACCGACCGATAATTCGCTGCATTGGTCGGCCGACTCGTAAATCCGAAAAAGTTACTTAGGAAGGAAGATGATCCATACTTAAAAATTCTGTAAGCGATGTAGGAAAAGAAAGAAAAATGTGATCTTGTTGTTTTGGCCTATTATGATGATGTGTCTTAATTTATCGTCCAACGGGTGGGTAAGTTACGAATAAACAATTGAATACAATAAATTTGCTAAAGAGTGGGTGTGTAATTATTATCCACGATCCACTAAGCTTGGAATAAACAACACGTTCCTACGTCAAAATGAATGCGAATAGTGGCTAATAATTGTCGATACACTATAACTATTCAAATACACAAAATTCACCTTAATTACCTAAAAGTGAAACTGCCACTATTTGGAGTAATTCATGAAACTTAACGTCAGCATGATATTTAATCTAATAATGATGATGTAGATGCTTAGGTGGCTTCATGAGAAGCCTCCAAATCCAAGTTTTATATATATAGACTAGTTAAGGACCCGTGCATATTTTTGTTATTGTTAATGTAAAATATTTATCTTTCCATTGAAATAAACTCTTGATATGAATATAGTAAAAAATATATTATTAAATTATTATGTATATATATATATATATAATTTGACGAATCTGATAGATCTTGATGTTAGTTTGTCAAAGCTATTATTAAGTCATTGTATAAACGTATTCAAAATTTATTTTTATCAATATTACATGCCGTATCATCAATCTTTTTGATAGAATTACTTTCTGTCAAACAATATAAAATTTATCATCTGATCACTTTTATCTGTTAGACAGAATCTTGAAGTCACTCTTTATTTATAAAACTTATCAATATTTACTTTCTTTTTTTTCGTATAATTTTAACGCTTTTGCAACGAAAATGTTGTGTTGCAATGCGTTGCAAAATCATTGCAAAAAAAAATTCGTCACAAAACGTTGCTAACTTTGCAACGAAATATATTTCGTTGCTAATTTCGTTGCTAATTGAATGTTCTTTTGTAGTGAATGACTTATACACATATTTAATAGATAAGGTTTTTCTATATATCTTTTTTTAACACGTATTTATTTATGAGTTGGATTAATATTTGAAATACAATTAAACTCGTCAACTCATTGATTCATTCGGTTACCATAGATTTCTCTCATTTTCTTTTTTTTTTTCTTCAGATTTGTGCATTCTTTCACTTCTATATTTATCCATGTTTCTAATATCAAACCAAATTTCCAGATTTTGATGAATTAAAGAGTAAGATCTCACACCAGTGGAAAAAAAAAGATCTCGCACCAACGATCGATTCAGAACATTTTATGAAACTCATTCTCTTCTTCGCTTTCTCTTCTTCTGCAATCTCTCACTGATCCACGTCTTTCCTCAGCCATATCGGTCTCATTCTCCTCCTTGCTCTCCTCGTTTTTCTCAGAGTTTTCTTACCTTGGACATAAACACCCTTATTCCCATTTCCAAATATGGGTTCTTCTTCCTCATCGGTATCATGGTGCGACTACACTCTCGTAGAGGTCGTCGCATTCACCGCCAACAACGGGACCTTGATCGTCTATACCATGAAGTAAAACTCATATTTTTCATTACGAAAGCTGTAGCTAATAGTAAAACCCACTTTCTAAAACCCCATTTTCTCTACATGTAAATTCCATTAACCATTAACAACAAACATGGTTGCAAGGAACATAATCATACCATACCATTCTTTTGGCTATAACTATTCGAACATAACTTATATTATTAGAGATTGTAGAGGTTGGATCGAAAGAGATCGTAGCTATCATAGTCAATGGAAACCATGCCACCATATTCAACTACAGTTTCGGCGTGATCGGTAAGGGCGACCTCTGAAACGGGTTTCAACATGAAGATCGGAATCCTCCTCCAGAACTCCTCGACACGAACATGTACCATACTTTTCGATGACTGATTCTGGCATCAACAACACGATTACACTGCTAGCTCTACTGAATTTCACCGACAGACTCTAGTCGTGATGTGGTCGCGGTAGCAATCTAAACACCGACTTTTATAGCACCAAGCTTAGCATCTAATGGCTCTCCTTGTATTTTTCACATGTAGTGGACTAATGAATACTAAGTTATTTAGTCTTGACCGTTTGGTTTTTTTTTGGTTTTATTAGTTATCATTTGTAACATTATTGAATTAAAAATGATTATATACACAATATTTTAGTTTGTATAAAAATCATTTTCTTTGATATAAATTTTGATTATATTTAAAGCTCAATATTTTTATTTATATAAAAATTAGATATGATGTATGATATTTTTTGGGATAATTTAGAAATATAAATTTAAATTTTAAAATAAAAAGATAAATGAGAATATAAAATAAAATTATCCATCCTTAGTATAGGAAATTTAAATGTAAAATTTTTCCAAATAAGAAGTTTATATGTCAAACTCCAATTTATACTTAACATATAAAGAATATTTTTATTGAATTGAATTTTATTAATTTTCCAATATTTTGTTTATGTTTTCAATGGACCAAGCAAACATGTATCAAGAGTATGAGGGAATAAAAATACAAATGATAAGCTCACATTTAACTTCTGTCTATCAGAAAGAAAGACAAAACTAAAGAAGAAAGTTTTCCATGGTTATTCCAACAATTATTGTAGCTAAAAAAAACTTAAACACGACGTAGTATAACCATGTCTCTCCGAAACATGAGAGATTTGGCTAGATTTTTAGGCGAGAACTTGCACAAGATCCTTTTCAAGTTAGTTTTACAGCTTTCCCTATATTACCGCCTTAACCGTATTCAAGTTAGCTTGAGTATGCAGGTTTCTACGCAGATTAAATCGGCTCGGGTAAATGTCAGTCTCGTCGAAATAAAGAAAAGAGATTCGGAGACCTGCATCTCTGAACCACCGGTTCTCGGAGTCTCTCCAACTGCATATCGTTTCCATAACTAAAACAGAATGTAGGAGTGGATACAGAATCACCATGATCATGATCAAAAAACACAAAAGGAACCATCTTTAGTATATACGGAGTGATAACATATATATATATATATGATGGATGCTTTGGGTATTTACTTGGTAATAATCGTTAACGACTGTAAAGGCCGAGCTTAATAATCATGACAAGCTTCGTGTTTGGCCAGCATAATGTCATATTCCGGACACTTGGAAAGACAGAAATCCTATCAGCTGTCGATAACAATGCAATTCCACGCTCAGTGTAAACAAATCTCCAGCGAAAAAAAAGCAATGCCGTATCACATATCATCCTAGCATCAAATCAAATCTTCAACACTAACTACTACCCAAGACCATTCCACTGTATTTGTAGGAGAAACAAATTATAGAAGATGGTGAGAGATTCCATGTTTTAATATAAGTATATGGATATATATGTCGTTTACCGGTTCTCGCATATATAACAAAAAAAAAGATTATCATCTCGATCTAACTAAAAACATCTTATATCCAAGAATCAAATCCAAAACCATATTTGAAAGAGCATTAAATAGAAAACATGATAACGCGGATGAAACAAAGAGGATTGAAACTATCATACCTTGTCAATTTTCCGAAACTTCGACGACTTTATCTATAAATAAGATGATCCGGATCGTGTTGTGCGCAAGTGACTCCTATCACCTTACGTTGTCACTTTAAACTCCAATTGTAAGAGTTTTTTTGTTGTATTGTTTTTTAAGGAGAAACGAATGGTAGAAATCGGTGTTATATAGTAGAGTATATAGTACAATAAATGGGTTTACTCTACAATTAATTTTTTAAAATTTTAAATATACAATGATGGAAATAAGTAAATAATAAATGTCGGTAGTGGTGGGTATCTACGTTTTTTTTTTAAAAAAATTAGTACCTTACTGCATAGTCAATGTCAAACCCACGTGTTGAACAAACAAATTAATAAAAAAAATTACTGAAATATAATAGTTACCAAGGTAACCTTTAAGCGTAACCTTTAAACGTTAAATTGTCCCCATTCTTTTCTTATATTAAATTTATCCTCTCTCTTTTCTCAATACGTTACCAAAGTATATTTACCTCAACTCTTATTATTATTTATTTCATATTTTATTTTATTACAATTATTAATATATTATTTATGTACATTTTGCTCATTAATTAATGATTTTTTAAATCATAAATACAAATTAAAAACAAATGTCACACAGATGATGAGTTGGATTCTAGATGGCTCTACCATATTCCTTCAAATCTAACTTTTATATATATAGATTCATACATGTAGGCATATATATACATACATAATTTTGTGTATTCAATGTGTATTAAAAATTAATTATAAATATATGATTCATGTGTGTATATATATATATATATATATATATATAATTTAGTTTTTAAAAAAGTTAAATTCACCGAAAAAACGTTTATAGAAAACAATCTAAAACATACCAACATCAACCCGGATCCAAAAACCAGGTGGCTAATGCTAATCGTTCCAATAAAACCATGATCAGGAGCTCTGACAGAAAACCGATAGGAAAGATAAGAATTTCTATTGGAGGATTTGTGAAGAAAATATGAGCATACCTTAAAAAACATGTCAATGGTACGTAAATTCTGCGAAGTTAGTCGGGAAATTTGAAATCTTTTCGGCGATAGCTAGGAACTTAGAAAGTGAGAGACGGAAAACATGACCTAGCCACGGGCGAATTCGGATCCCTCGTGATTTCAGCCAAGTATCCATCAACTTATTCACCGAAACTCTCGATTGAAACCCACCTTTCTCATGCATTTTCCTTGAAACTATTTTTGAAACAGCCAAACTCGTCTCTTTTCTGTGGTTGTATCATGAACTGATCGATCATGCTCTGAACGATGTCCACATCCTATTGTTTTAGATCCGTATGACGCTCTGATCAAGCGATAAGCCACTGTCGGTTTTTCCAGATTGTGCCCGATTCTCCTCGTGAAGGTATGGTTCCATGGAAACCATGTAAGTTAATTTTTTGTTCGGTACCATGTAAGTTAATTTAAATACCAATGCATGATAAGATAATAATACTAATTACGAAAAATAATAAATGTGCTTAGTAATGGGCTAATCACCAGCACGTTCTAGAGTTTTATACGTTTTTTTTTAATGTTTGTTTTATATAGTGTATTTACTAAATATATGAACGCATGTTAAGAAACGTAAAATAATATTAATTAAAAAAATAAATGTGAGTAGTAGTGGCTAGTAAATGTCACGTTTCAAAGTCTTACCGTTATTGTGTTAAATTTTTTTTTTAAAATTTGCTTTGGGTGTATAAGTTTTTATACACCAAATAATATAATTATCCCTAACCATTTAGTTATCTTGGATGAAAAATAAAGATAAATATAAGTAAATAAAATTCTAAATAATATGTAAAATTAAGATCAAGATGATTTTTATGTAATAAACATGATATTTTTTTAGATTATTATTATTATTATTTGTTTAATATAATTGTTATATTCAATGAAAAATATAAATTAAATGTTCTAATTATAAATACCTAATGAATTTTTTATGAACCAATAGAAATGAAAAAAACTGTCATATAAGATGCTTAGGTGGCTTCACCAAATCTCTTTAAACTCCTTTATTAATATAAATAGATTTCTTTCTTCCCACAACGTAGTAAATTAGTTTATTATCCACTTTTTTTCATTTCGATATCTCCATGATCTAATTGATATTACGAGTTTGAAAATTAGATATTTAATATTCTCACGATTTATTTTCTTTTACTTTTTTTTTCAAATGGTTTATCATATATTGTCCTTTGTGGTGTGGTTGTTTCTCTACGTTAATTTTTATACTAAATATTGCCCTTTTTTCAATTTATCTTGAAAAACATCATGTACTAAAATAGTTTTTTCAAGAGTAAAATAATGACGAATAATTTATTTAAACTAATACAGTGAACACTAGTAAGCATTTTATGGTATTGTAAATGGTTTTAAGAGATTATTAAGTACGAGTAAGTATCTAAATGTAGACTATACAATGTTATTAATTATTTTAAATTTGTTATAAAAAAAAGTTGATAGAAAGCACTAACATTCACAATTGAGTAACATGGCAGAATAAATACAAAGAAAATCTATATTAACTATGTTCTAATAATTGAAACTGATACGTAATAAACTCGAAACTATCTTCGTTTACATTAAAAAAAAAAAAAGAGGGCCTTTATATATATTTCTAGTCTCTGTCGTCAAACAAAGCATAGCCCATGTTTCAATGGCTCCACAGAAACACCAGGGCAGAGAACCCGATGGCGGCGAGTGCAGAGGAGACGTGCAAACTTGCGGCACCCCCTTCATCATCATCATCATCTGGATCATCTTTTCCGAACACCATTCCACCTCCCGGAGTTCCGCCTCCATAGGGAGTGTTTCCGAACGGAGTTCCGCCTCCGTAGGGAGTGTTTCCGACCGGAGTTCCGCCGCCATAGGGAGTGTTTCCGACCGGTGTTCCACCGCCGTAGGGAGTATTTCCGACCGGTGTTCCGCCGCCGTAGGGAGTGTTTCCGACCGGTGTTCCACTTGGCGTAGTTCCAGGAAACCCTCCTCTTCCTCCTCCTGATCCTCCTGTTGGTGGTGCCTTTGCATCGCTGAAGCAAAAATATGGAAAATGCAATTAAATTGGTCATTATTAGGATATACCAATCATTATACAAAGCGATTCAGGAGTGAAAATATAATGGAAACCATACCTGGGGCTTGAAGGATAGACGCAACCAGCAACCACATCTGCAGGGATTTCGCAAGAGGGAAACATCATAAGAAAAACATACAGCTTTTTTTTTTCTCGCCAACCCGACAAGGGTTTATGAACCTTTGGAAAGAGATAGAGGCTTTTGTGTGATCGCTTACTTGGAGGAGGTTTCTCACTGGTAGCGGCACTGCCGGAGAAGTGACAGCTTCCAGCTGCCTGAGCAGCGTTTTGGAAATAACTGTTGACAGCATAATCGCAGTGGCTCTTAAGAGTGTTGGGTTGGTAACAGGCGCCGTTTGGTTGGATGGCTGAACAGTCTGCCAATGCTCCGCATGCGTAGTCCAAGTCTGCTTGAAGCTGTTTGTCCCCTACCCCATCTTTACACAGACAGTATGTCGCATCTGAACGACAGAACTCAACATGAATGAGCAATTATGTTGGATAAAAATCGATTTTTTTCGAAACCCATTTCAGATTATGAAAAATTAATGGGCACCCAGATGGAAAAATCCTTCCTTTTCAACTGGAAAGATGATTACACTGGAGAAAAATGACATATCGGACAAGTAGATCTCACTTGAATGGCAAGTCATCAAGGCCAGGAGAAGGAAGAGACCAAGAAATGCCTTCATCATCATCGTGCATATAGTCTCTGCAGAATATCTTAAGAGAGGTTCTATTGGAGAGCTTGCAAGAAATCGTGTTCTCTCTGTGAGCGTGTGAGAGGATGATGTCTGACACCATATATACACATCGACCTTTTATAAGTAAGGGTTGCTTGGTTATTTTATAACTTATAATTTGAGATCAATTTAGATATAAGCATGCGCCAAATTCAATTTAATTATAAGCATGCGGCAATAAAGTTATGGCCAGTGACACGTCTAAGTCCGTCTTTGATATGGGTTTCCATAGCTATTATCCATTTTGGTTAATTAGTTTAAGACAAGAAAATCTCTCTAAATACTTTTTGAATTGGTTAGGGATGTAAAAATGGACTCTTTCCACAAGTCGGTCCTAAACCAAATCATGTTTTCAATTTTTTAAAAAAAAGGGATTAATAAACAGATTTTCCTAAGAATCATTTGATGACTCTGAATTCACTTCATACCCTAAAACTAAGAGAAAAAAGCTAAGAACATGTAGACAACATTGGTCCCAAAGAAACATGAGAACGACCTAATAAAAAAAACAGACATTTAAAGAAAAAAAAGTCTCTAACAAACAATACACATCTCGGACAGGTGTGTTTCCTCAACATGGTTTGGTTTGGTTGCAACAAACTAAAAACCCTAGAACCCTAAAAAAAATACAATGGTAAAGCAACAGCTACTGTCTTCCATGTATCCTGATTTCGTTTTACCCTCCTCTGGGATTCTCCAGATTCTCCTCCTAAAAACATGAGCAGACAAAGGACATATCATGATGATGACAAGCTCAAGATGATGATGCACACATGTTCTTGTCAAACCCAATCATGTGCCCATTAAAAGCATGGACTGTGGATGCACGAGTGGAAGGCGAAAATCCACAATCTTGCTAATCTTGCTTGCTATAACTACCAATTTGAATGTAGCAGACAACGTCTAGGCTCGATAATTGATGTGTATTCGAATAATAGCAGATAGCAATCGCAGATATCCTCATATTGGTGACATAAAACATGGATGCCGAGCTAAAGGAACCCAACTTTCAGGCTGAGTAATCCATCTCTCACTAAATTTCGTATTGGGTATGAATGAGTATTTGCAGAAACAGGCCATTTGAAGAGATTAAAGCATGGAGAAGTAAAGGGAGGCAGATTTACCTGAACCATGGCTGAGGAACCTAACTTTCAGATGGAAGACAGAGGGCTCTGTCCTCCTCGCCTAAGGACACGATATAAGGCTGAATTTTAAATGGTTCTGTAATTGTATAGCTGAGACCGTAATTCACAACCTTTGTCCCGAAGATATTGAACCTTCCTGCGCTATTGTAAGCAACCTCAGCATCGGCACACTTCTTGAAAACTACTCTCGCCCTGCTGGTATCCCTGTCTACTTCTGTCTTAGATTCCCGTATCGGTCCAAAGTGCCTAAACATTTTATTCAGGCTAATCTCTGAAGGTAATGTATCCATTTCGGAGAAGTTCATTATCAGCTCAGCCGGTGCATTCTCGTCAAAGCCCGCTGATTTGTCAGAGGCTGAAAGCGAGTTTTTATTACTATTATTATTCTCAGCATGTTTCCTTTTGGTGTATGGCCGACGACTCCTTTGAATCTGAGCAGGTTTCAACTCAACCGGCACAATTTGATAATCTCCTTTTTCAGCGGGTGGAATTTGCTCCTCACCGCCATTATGGATCACCCTGTCAGTCCAGTACGTGTCACTCATTTCCTCAAACTCAAATGCTTCAGTTCCTCCTATACTAGAATTGGACTGTCTACCTTTTTTACCGCTCACTTTATCTGGGGGTGGCTGCAGCGATACCACCGAGCTTCTGTAGTCTAAGAAAAATCCAGCAGCAATCTCAGAAACAACATTTTCTTGGGCTGGGTCTGTTGCTGCAGACTGAAGCTGTAGTAGAAAATTATCCACAGAAAGATCATCACCGAAAGTACTACCCTTTAAAACTGAAGGAGGGCCAGCCATCTGGCTAGCAGCTCTGGCTATGCATGCACCGATCTTAAAGGATGGCTTCTGGGGGTGAGAAGGGCTAACAGACACCTTCGCCACTGAAATGGTCTTCCTAACTTCTTGTGATGAATCTTCGCCCAAGACATCATCAGCCTTCCGTTTCACACCTTTAGTTTTAGTAATGGAATCAGTTCCATCGTCATGTTCAGAAGCCTCGAGTTTCTCTGCCATTTCCATATCAACATCAGGAGCTTCATTTGCATCACCCTTTTGCTCTGCGACCACATCTCTTTGTACTACAGTATCTTTCTCTTCTCGGTTTTCTTCAACTACCGAAGAAACCAAATCTGCATCACAAGTATCTTCCAGATGATCTGCAGCAGAAGCTGGAGATTCTGTACCACAATTGTGTGTTTGGTGGGATACTTCCTTATTTGTGTCAGTAACTTCCCCAGATACATTCCCAGTGTCAGTTCTTATTTCTTGAATATTGCCTGACCAACATGATACACCACTGAAATCAATATAGTTGGCAATATCAGAATTTGGATCAAAAAGAACATTATGATCCATTTGTTCAACTTCACCTGTAGAAGCATCTTCAATTGGATTGCCCGGGTCTGTTGAATCTTTAGATATGATTTTATCTGTAACATCCACAATTGTAACATCCTTATCCCTTTGTTCCTCTTTATCAGTTTCTGTGCTCTTTTCAACATTGGAATCTTCCTGGTCAGCTTCACCCGCTGGAACATCTTGGGTTTCTACCGTACTTGCATCGGTAGATTCCTCGCCAGCATTTTCTGCATCACCACCAAGTTGGTCAACCTCTTTCACATGTTCCCCGTCAACAGAATCAATTTCCATGGCTTCTCCTTTTTCTTCTTTCTGATTCATGGCAGCAGTTGGTTCTTCAGAACATGTTTCTGCAGCAGAGCTACTCTCTTGCACTTTCAGATCCGCCCTGTCTACAACTGCAGCAGTTTCCCCTTTTGTCACTTGGTCCGGCTCCTCCAGAGCATGCACATGTTCTGAAGGCTTAACATCTAATGTCTCGGACTCGAGATTTTTCTGTTCATCACGTGAAGGACATACTTTCTCATCCTCGACCTTGCTAATCATATCTTCACTATCAACATCCATTTTGTCATTATCATCACTCTTTTGTAACGAAACTTTCTCTGCAGCATCTGAACATTTATCTGCATCAACAATTTCGGTTTCCCCAACATCACTTGCACCACCGTTTTTAACCTCAACATCACACTTTGCTTTCTCAACAACATTCACTTCGCTCCCAACTTCACCACTTCTCCTCTCAGTCTCTGGCGTCACTGTGTCGTCTATTATTTCAGCTTCAACAGAGGTACCCAATTTCTCACCACTTTCAGCATCATCACAAGACTCTGCATCCCCTCTCTCATTCATTGGCTCCGCAATAGCCTCCCTCGTTTCAACCTCAGCAGAGCTAACCATCTTCTCGGTTCCTTCTGAATCATCATCATCATGCCCAACATCCTCGTTCTCAGTTTCCAGATTCGCCACAGAAACACCCGTCTCCTCAGCTTTTTCTACATCTGCCTTATCTGTTTTCTCGTCAGAAACTGAATCATCCTTATCACTATCTTCCATTTCTAAGCTTCCTGTCTCAGTCCCCGACCCATCATCACCATGGTTCTCTCCACCTCCGCCAGTTCCATTACCCAAGTCACCGCTATTACAAACACCAGAATCTGAACCCTCTGCTGTATTAGCATCCCCGTTAGAGTCTTTCAACGGAACATCAACCTTACCACCTAGGGTTTCACTTTTCACAGACTCCTCGCAATTACGGACAAACTCACCTTCCTCCTTGTGTTCGTCCATGGAAAACATCTGGGTACAGCTCAAACTTACTCAAGAACCCCAAAACATAAAAAGGACAAAAATTTTACAATTTAACCCGAACAAATTCCTCAAAACGAGACATGGGTATACATAGAACGAACCATGAAAACACCCAGATTCCGAGGGAGAAAAACAGACGGGGAAAGTGAAATTTCAGAGAGTTACCTCCCCAGATCTTGCAAAGAATCGCAGAAAGAAACGGCGAGTTCAGTGAATTTGGGGACTTTTTGACCTCAGAGAGACTGCGGGATTCAAGAAGAAGAAGAAGAAGATCTAACAGCGAAAACGAAGCACACCACCTCACAAAACGAGCCGCCCGTCGAGGTTTTCGTCATCTGTAATCAACACATCGTCGTCCCTTTTAACCCCTCTCTTAATTCTCTTCAAAGGTTCCACAGAAGATTTCGTAGTTCGGGTTTTTTTTCCCCCCGTTTCTCGTTGGGGTTTCCACGAATTTGGAGAATACGTCGATGATGCAAACCTAGAACACCTAAATCGAAGGTCCTGATCCTTCCGCGTCGTCTGTCGTATTTCTATATATATATATGTACATATATATGAGGAAATGGATATAATCATATAATGTCTAAATTTGTACCGTGGCGGAAAAAAAAAGACTCCATTTTTACAAGAACCAGTAAATTGAAATTTAAAGTGAACGGAAGAAAATTGGAATATTGTAAAATGTTTTCTTTTCAAAGGAATATTGTAAAATGTTACTACTTTTTAACATTTGTATTTTCCAAAAAAGAATAGTTATTGTTTCATTTTCACTACTACAAAATGTCACCTTCTCCCTTAAATAAATGTTGCCTTTTTTTTAAAGATCAATGTTTTTGCCACGATGCAAAATTCATCAATCTTATTACACGCAAAAAATAATGTGTTTGATGTTCCGATTAGCCGTTTTTGTGGATAATTTAAATAACATCGAAGAGAAAAGAGCTTTAAAAGATAAATTAACAAACATTAGAGACACGTACGTTATTAAAATTAGCATGGGAAATCTCAAGTGATGCAAATATTGGATTATTTTCAGCCATTTTTACTTTGCATAACCATTTCCACACAAAAAAAATGGCATATCCATATATTGTATGGATGAATTCATGCGTTTAGTTTGAAAAAACAAAAGTAATCATGTTGGTTTAAATTTGCCCAAAAAAATAAGGACCTTAGACTAAAAATATATATAACCCCGTTAAGATTTCTAGTTTTTAGACTCTCGACCAAATGAGTCAGGGCCGGATCGGGTCGGTCGGGTTTCAGACCAAAACTCGGTAAGTCTCTCCTCAAAAAAAAAAAAGTGGAGTCCATGACTTATAAATAATATATTTTAATTAGGATAATTATTTCAATCATTAGTTTCAAAACAATTAAAATAAAAGGAATAATATATAATTATATATAGGAAAAACCCCATGAAAATTTAACTTATAGATGTTCCTATTTATTTCAGAATTTAAAAAATTGAATACAATAATTTATGATTTCTAGATATATATATATATATATATATATATATCCGAGATTCAAAATATATAATCTAGTTTTTACTATAAAATTATATATATATATAAGTTTTCATTTTAATGTAAATTTTTTTTTTAAGTTATGATTTTATTTTATTAATTGATTTTTTTAACTGTAATGTTTTAATTTAGAACAATTTGCGGACCTCTCTTCATTTTTGGAACATTTCAGCAATTTTTCTCGTATAGTTATTATATCACTAAATATTGTTTATGTAAATCTCTAAAGTTCTGAAAAAACAAAGAAATATATATATTTTTTATAAGAGTTTTTTTTTTGGTATGAATGTGATTTCTTATATTAACCAAAAAATATTGTTTACAAAATCAGCATGGCTGCATCCAAGACCAACAGTACTCAGACTGTATATTTTTTCCCCAACGATCAATTAAAAACTAACTACGCAACAATATTCAGATAATAACCCCTAGTAATCAACTCCCCAACAGGTAATACCAATCCTGTAACATAATGTTACCAGTATCATACTTCCCCTTTTGAGCCGAGAGGAAGATATCACGAATCATGTTGCCGATGTGCATGCGCATATCTTGTAATGTCCTTCTTGTACCATCAAAAATTCTCGAGTTTCGTTCTCTCCATATCTCGTATACTAACACCTGAATGATTAGGCGGACGATTAGATAGCGGTTGCACGATCTGTCTGTTTGGCTATTCAACCAGGAAATGCAAAGCTGCAGATCTTCCGGAGGCGAGGTCCAACACCTGGATGCGTAAAAGTTCCAAAGTGTCCAAGTATAAGGGCAGGCAAAAAATAAGTGTGAATGACTTTCCTGAGCCTCTTCGCAGAGAATACATACACAATACACTTGAATACCCCAATTAATCAGTCGATCTTTTGTCGGTAGTCTTTGGTTTATGGCCTGCCAGAAAACAAGAGAGTGTCTCGGTATAGCAAGTTTAAACCAAACTAGATCATACCAGAGAACTTTCGGCCTCTGAATCCTTAGTTGTTTCCATGTGGAAGACGATGAGAATGAGGTTTTAAATTTCCCCATGTGGTCTCTCCATAGGTGTATATCTTCGCCTTTATCCGGATGTGGTGGGTCGGTAGTAATAAGAGCCTGCTGGATTAGCTCCATACCTACCCCTCTCGCTGGTGGGAGGTGCCAGTGACTCTCGGTTGTTGCATCAATCACCTTAGCTGATTTCAGGATATGGGCGAGACTCGGTCCACATTCGCCGGAGATCGTAATTAACGGACCTGAAGATACCCAGTGATCATACCAAAACCAAGTACTCCTGCCATCCCCTACTTGTTTCCGATGAAACTTCCTGACCGTGACTATGAGATGGATGAGCTTATTAAAGTTCCATGAGTGATTTACCGAAGGCTTACAAGTCCAGTAGCATCCCCCTTTTCAGTAAGTGTTTCGTACTCCAAGCATACCATAATGAGCCAGCTTTGCTGAGTAGGTTCCATATTAGTTTTAGCCGAAAAGTCAGGTTTTGTTCCTCAAGCTTCCGAATTCCCAGCCCCCCTTCGTCGCGAGGCAAGCATACCGATGCCCAGGCAATGCGGTGTCCAGTTGATTTTTCAGCTGTATTAGACCAGAGAAAAGACGAGCACAATGAGTCAATCGATTTGAGAAGGAACTTAGGAAGAACAAACATTGAACTCCATGAGTTCACCATCCCATAAATAACCGTTGAGATCAATTGCACTCTCCCTGCCATAGATAAAAACTTTGTTTTCCACAATGACAGCTTGCTTCTAATTCTCTCAAGCAACGGTTGAAAGTCCCGCTTTGATAGTCTTCTAGAGCTCAATGGAACCCCCAAATATTTAACCGGAAGGGAACCAAGGGGAAGACCTGTTGCCGATGCTATAGTTTGCCCAACACTGTCAGAAACCCCCCCCGAATATCAGTTCTGACTTTGCCCGATTAATTTGCAGTCCACTGGATATGCCAAACTCATTCAATAATGATAGAACTTCATTTACAGATTCCAAATTACCTTTACAGAAGATAATAATGTCATCTGCAAAGGTAAGGTGCGTGATGGTTGGATCTCGACATCTGTGATGTAGCGACAATCTCCCGAGCCTCGCAGCTTGGTTTAAGGATTGTGATAAAAGCTCCATTGAAAGTATGAACAAATATGGTGATAGCGGGTCACCTTGTCGAAGACCACGCCTACCCTTGAAGAAGCCGTGTAGTTCCCCATTAATGGCGATTGAAAATTTTAGGGTTGTGAAGCAAAGTTCCAGCCATCTAATAAACCTATACGGTAGATCTATTGCTTGGAGGAGCCTTATAACCAATCGCCAATCAATTGAATCAAATGCTTTCTTTATGTCAATCTTTACCATCGCCATCGGAGGAGCTCCTTGACGCTCACAAGAACGGAGTATCTCTGCTGCAAGGAGGACATTTTCAGCCATTAGTCTACCTTTCAAGAATGCTGCATGATTCCTAGATATCAACCGTTGAAGTATCGGTCTGAATCTTCTTGCTAAGATGGTGGATATAATCTTGTACAGAGTGTTACAACAACTTATCGGTCTAAAATATGCCAGGGAAGATGCACCGGTTTTCTTGGGTATAAGCACAACCGATGTGGCATTAATCTGTCCAAGTAGTGTTCCGGTAACAAAGAAATCCTGGACAGCTCGGATTAAATCCTCACCCACTGTGTTCCAAGCCCCCACAAAGAATTCCTTTGGAAAGTCATCCGGACCAGGCGCCTTGTTGTTCGGAAATGACCATAGGGTCTGTTTTATTTCCTCTGCAGAGGGAATATCCGTGAGGCCAAGGCTGAGATCTGATGTGCATCTGAAGGAGATCAGATCCCGGAGTTGTTCCAGTGTTGGTTCCCTGATTTCTGGATCTCTTCTGCCAATTAAATCAGAAAAATATTGGACTGCATGTTGACCAATCTCCTGCGAGGAAGAACACCTATTCCCAAGTCCATCCTCGAGGTAATTGATACGGTTATGGGATTTTCTGATCTTGGTAATGTTGTGGAAGAATGTTGTATTCTTATCACCGAGGTTGAGCCATCTTATGCGAGATCTCTACTTGTAAAATTTTTCTTCCGCTACAGAAAGTTTCAGCCACTTGTCCCGCAACCGCGTCCCCTCTACAACTAAAAAGGGTGATGGATCAGAGAGTAATGCTGCTTGTATTCCATCCAACTCCTTCTTGGTCTCTTTAACTCTCAATGATAGTTGGCTGAAGTTCGTCGAGTTTAGTTCGCGAAGAGGTTGTTTCAATAACTTCAGAGCTCGGGTGAAGCGAAATTGATGGGTGCCCGTAAGGAGGCTTGCTTGCCAATTTGTCTGAACCACCTGCTCAAAACTAGAGGAAGTGATGAGATGGTGATAGAATTTAAATGGGGGTTTTGATACCTTGTTCCAATCCGGGAAGTGAACATTTGCCGGAGAGTGATCCGATGGAGCAGGAGGTAAATATTCTGAGTATGCATTTGGATACTTATCTAACCAAGCCTGATTTCCGAGTACTCGGTCCAACTTGACAAAAAGAGGATTCAATGTGTGATTGTTACACCACGTATATCGTAAATCTCGTCCAGGAATGTCCGAGAAACCCCCAGCTTCTGCACAACTCTGGAATTCCATGGCTCCCTGCGATAAGGCGTTGGTAGCCATAAAATCCGAGCGATCCATTGGAGAAAGTATTTGATTAAAATCTCCTAGGATGAGCCAAGGAGAAGAAGGGATCGGTTGTACAGAGGCTATGTCCTCTAGATCCCGCCACAAAGCACGCCTCTCATTCATAGAATTTGACGCATAGACAAAAGTAGCTGCCAGAGCCAAGCCATTGTCCGGACTCTGTATGATGCAAGTAATGGCCTGTTTTGAACAGCTTAGTATCATGATCGAAATCTCTGGTTTCCAAACCAACCAAATTCTACCTGTTTCCCCCGCTTCAAAATGACAAAAATGCCTCCAACCTGATGGTATCGAGGCCAAAATACGGTCGGCATTATGTTCCTGGATGTGGGTCTCCAATAATCCTCCCGCAATGAGCTTATGCTCCAAAATCCATCTACGAATCAAAAACTGCTTATTCGAGCCGTTTAGGCCCCTTACGTTCCAACAAAAAATCATGACTAAAGGGGTTTGTTTCCTCTCGAGGCCCCCCGACCTCGGTTTCTACCTTTCCTACGTCCTCTTGTTTTTACCAAAGTAAATTCTTCGTGCTGACTTTCCGTCGTTTGAGAGCTACAAGCGGGGGATGACATGCCCGCTGTGGCTTCGGGAGTTTCTATCTTCTCCTCTGAGGTAACCTCCGGTGGGGGTGAATCCTCTGCCTTGTGGGCTTGAGAATCAATCTGGTCAATCAATGATGTAGGAATTGGATCCACTGGATCTATTCCATCTGCTTGTTTGGTGGCCTGTGGGGGGCTGGCCGGAGAGGGCCTTGTTTCCGGACCGTGAACTACTGGTTCCGAAGGAAGAGGCTGAGTTTCTGTCGGATGAGGCATGGACGGACAATGTTTGCTGTCATGGCCAACCTGCGCACAATTCGGACATGATGGAGGCAGCCACTCATAGGATACCGATATGATATGCTCCTCCCCATGTGGAAGCTGGACTGCAATGTTTCGCGGTGGCGGTCTGAGTAAATTCACGTCAACAAACAGCCTTGCAACTTATATCTTATATCTTATATGCTGTTTTATAAGAGTTATCATCTCCTACATCTTATATGCTGTTTCTTCCTCCAAATCAAATGGTGCTTGCCGCAAAATGAATCCATCTGGCAATACATTAATTGCCTAGTCTTTATTTATTTAATTATATCATGAGATGGTCCTGAATAGCGTTCATTTGACTCCAAAAAAAATGGATTGATTTTCGTTTCTGAATCTTGCGTTTTTTTGTTTTTTTTTTTAAGGATTTTCCGACAATATCAATTTAGTACCTAAAATTACTAAATCATATCACCGGCTTAATAAAGAACAAAAAATATACAAATATATATAACAAATGAATTAATTTTTTTTAATTATTTATAAGTTTTCAAAGCTAATGAGCCGCAAAGAATAATGACTTTGGCTAGTCATATTAGACTTGGAGAAAATACAACTGACTATAATAATAATGATAATGATGATTGAAAAACATGAGGAATTAAATTAAATAATAAATTTATCTGGAAAGAAGAGCCAATGGAATGGAACATGCAGAGGTTTTTTTAATAGACATTATTTTGTTGGTCCGAGCGGCTATCATCTCATGGCATTGTCGACGATGCTCTCTTCCTCCAACTGTTCCTATTCCACACATTCAAGCAAACTGTTTCTGTGATATCAGTTCTATTATTATATTTCCTTCACAGAATCACACCATTTTATATGTATAATATCAGAGCCCCTAATTTTTTGGGACCTCATTTTTTTTTATAAAAAAATATTATTTTTAATTTTAAAAAATTGAGTCATAAAGTTTTTAAATTTTTTTACAATGTTATCATAAAAAATAATTATAAAATTAGTTTTCTATTTTATGATTGAAAAAATATATAATTTTAGGAAATCTCAATATGTGTATATATATATATATATTAAAATTGATTAAAAAATAAAAAAAAATAGATATAGATATAGATATATAATATTTGCATGGGACCTCCGTTAACAATGAGACGGCCCTGTATAGTATTAATATATATGGGGTATAAATGTGTATATCCACGTATACATACATATATATTCATATATATATAATGAGGAATGAGGGCGTAAGGGCATTTCCGTAATTTGGGAAAGAGAAGCCCACATGGTTCCAGAGTGGGGAGTGGACCCGGCCCAAACAAATCACGGAAGCACGTGCCGCAAGGATGCATCACGTGCCAAAGCTAGTTGTCAGTTTTCCTGGTGGAGCCATGTGACCCCACTGACATGTTTTGCCATATGAAACGGGCATACGCTATACTTTAATATAATATTTTAGTTTCAAATAGCCCTATGTTACAATTATTCCGATCACCATCTCAATGCTATTCAAATCGATATCAATCTTCTAAACTAATTCATATAAAAATAAGAAAAAAACTATTATTTTTAATATTAATAAAAAAGCAAAACTAAAATTAATATCGGAAAAAACCTAATATTAACTTTACGTGAATATATATAATAAAACCCAACAAACATCTTTTTAACTTTTCACCGTATCACTTCCAATAATATTCTTTTAAAATTCACATATATACATATATATATATATATAAATACAGAGGCTAATAGGATACCTGAGATAGGAGAGGAGAGAAGGAGAGGGGCTTGGAGAGGATGGGAGCGGGAGGAGGAGGAGGAAGACCGACGACGTGGGAGTGGTGATGGTATGGTTGGTAGAAGACTGGCACCATCGCGTTTGCCCTTACCATCACTTGCCCGTAATGTTGCTGCTGCACGTAGTGTCCGTTCATATACGCTCCTCCCACCATTTTCTAAACACCAAATTTTATTTACATATATTTTTTCCACATCTTATAATAAAGAAATTACTATAACATGCATGCATGTTTTATATACATTGCACAGAGATAATAAAAGCCACATTATAATGGCAAATCAATACGTAGACTAACCCAAAAAGAAAAAAGAAAAGACTTACGTTGTTAAAACCCATGTCCGGAGCAATGTATGTAGGAGGATACCTAATTCAATAACGACAAAAAATCTATAAGATGAAACACGAATTACTGTAAAGTACTTTCCCGTGTATATATATTGGAATCTTTTGAATCGTATTCATGATATTAAGATTATGAATCATAATGGTTTTTATTTTGAATTTTTGGATTTTAGCTTTTAGTTTTTGATTTTTTCATTAAAATAGTTTTCCAAATTTTTAGGAAAATTAGATTTATGAAATTTTGATTGTAATATTTTTAGTTTTTAGACTGTAAAAACTCCAGAAATTGCATCCATTCAACCCCTTGATTTGGAATTTGTTTTAAACTATAAACAAATCCTAGTTAAAACCGATTCGGTTCAGTTTATACTTTATGAATTTTTATACTATTGAGATTATAAATATGTAAAGGAAATGAGGGAAAAACATTTTTACCCGTAGAAAGACTATAAACAAATCCTAGTTAAAACCGATTCGGTTCAGTTTATACTTTATGAATTTTTATACTATTGAGATTATAAATATGTAAAGGAAATGAGGGAAAAACATGTTTGCCCGTAGAAAGTGACGGGCGGATGTTGCGGCTGGTGATGTGGCTGATTGAATCCCGCAGGGTAATACATCTGAACGTGGCTCCCCACCACACGTGCTGACGTGGCCCTATTCCCACCTTTGGATCCTTTCACATTACCCACATCTTCTCGATAAGATGATGACAATTATTAGTAAACAATAATTCAAACATTATTATTATTATTTGTAATTGTTTGAACCCAATGAGAGAATGAAATGTAACAAAGACCAAAATTCTTAAGACTACCTTTTTGATGGATCGTGTACAAACAATATTTATTTTCATTGTTCTTAAAATAGACAGATCCAATTTTCGAACATTAGATATGTCTCTGTGTGAAGGTGAGAACAATTTCTTTACAATCATTCCAACTTTTTTTATTTAAATTGAAACAAAACAAAATCGAATCTAATCAACAAAAAATTTCGAGATAAAAACTAATCGATAGACCAAATTGAAAATATTTTATTTCTAAGCATGTTTTTGTAATACCATGTTGAATTCTAGAGAAATTCAAACGATTTTAACATGATTTATACAAGATTATTAAATCAAATAAACCTAAACCGGTTCTCTAATACAATCCACACTCTTAAGTACCTTGTTGAGTGGCTAGCGATCTGCGAGGACGGGCGCCGAGGGAAGCGAGATTGCAATTAGCCCTGCGGCCATTGATGATCGGAGTCGGATCCTCACATGCCCTCTTCGCAGCATCGGCTTCTTTGAAAGTAACCTGCCAGTCGAATTAGAGACTCTCACATGATCAATTAAGAACCAAATTAACCCTTTTAATATACAGAATTAACAACCGAATCATATTTATATTGCATTAGGGAAAAAGGGTCGAAGAGGGACTGACAAAGCCGTAGCCTTTGGATCGGCCGGTGATCTTGTCGGAGATGATGACAGCTTCCAAGATCTCTCCGTACTTATCAAAATGCTCTCTCATTGCCTCTTTCGGAGTCTCCCAAGCCAAGCCGCCTACGAACACCTTGGTCAACGTCGTGTCCCCGAACTGACCATTCACATTGTTGCTCGCCGTCATTGTCGTCATCTTCTCCGGCCACCCACGTCGGAAAAATCTCCCGGGAGATATCACAGAGAGAGAGAGAGAGGTAGTTAGTGCGAGAGAGAAAATAAGGTGTGAGTTTGGGATTAATAAGGGGGAGAGGGAATAAAGAAATGGAGGAAGAGAACAGAGAGACAGATTGGCGGACAGGTAAGGCTTTGCTGATCAACGTGATCACACACACAAACATACACGCCTATAGACACAGAGCAATATGTAAATTCGCTTACGTGTATGTATTGATTGCATACTGTACGTATGTATCTCTCGTTGTCCCTGCGTGTATTTCTCCGTTTTTATTTAATGTATTTGGAATATATTTATAATGATTCGGCCATATGGGTGTGGGTACTCTAGACTGTAGGTTATATTATATTCTACATACATACATACATACATACATATATATATACACATGAACACACATCTTATCATCATGGCTGGTTTAATAACATATAGGATGAGCCGATATCCCATATTATATAATTTGGCGCCAGTAAACATGAAACTGATACAATGATACTATATATATACACATATATATATATATATATACACAAACTGGATAATATTAGTTGTGAAAGCACTAATTAATTTCCTGCTCAACCAGATAATAAGTAGCAATGCCTGGTGATATATAGTTATTATTATTGATCGAAATGGATGATTATGAGTACAGTCTTGCTTTGAGTCTGGTCGCAAAGAGAATATACTCTCCATTTTCTTATTGTTTGGACAAACTGAATGAATCTACAAAAGGCAAAAAATATCTTTAAAAATATAAGGAAAATGTTTTTTTTGGTAAAAATATAAAGAAAATGTTATTCACAAATCTTTGATATTTTTGAATTTTTCGGGTTCGGATAACATTCCGAATGAGGTTAAATCCGATGTGTGGAATAAGATGTTGCAACTCTTACAATGTTGTATAACAGAGAATATAAAAAGGTATGACCGGCTAAGAGTTTGAAAATATACGGTCCGATCAATTATACGATTTAGATCTGGTTTTTATTAGTCTATATATTTTTAAAATTTTGTATTGCTTTTCTATTTTGTTTTTTTTTTCTTTTGTGTTAATATTTAAACAAGATTTGGTTTAAGTGAGAATAAAAATAACTATATTTTTATTCCTTCCTGTGCTCGAATTTAATAAAGTAGTCTTATGTCCCCTTGGAAAATATGTGTGATACGATGCAGGTGGATCAAAAAATAATAATGATAGTGTTTTTGAAAATTTGATCATTGAAATGTGTCTCAAAAATGCTAATTATTATTCAACTCCGGTGAAAATAATAGTAACACCAAGTTTCAATAATTTTTTTTTTTTTTTGCCAAAATTTAAAAAGGAGTAAAAAAGGACACGAAAGAACAAATTGAGGACGGCAAAGTTCCTGACGTTTTACATTTGTACGGGTCCCACCGAATACGGTGAAGGACGTTGGAGTTTTATATTACGAGAAAAATTATAAAACATAAAATAAACTAATTTTTTTATCCAAAAAAAAAAAGAAACAACGAAAAAGGCAAACGACGTGCGAACATGGCTGTACGATGTGGTCCGTCGGTTTTATATGACAGTCACACACGTTGAACGAGCGCCTTCTAGTGACTTGACAACTAATATATCCTCCTTTTTCCTAATTAAAAATAGAAAATATCTGCCCGTTTAATTTAATCGGAAAAAGTTGAAGAATAAAATTCGAATTATTTTACACCAAGATATAAATACGGTTCAGTGGTTAAAACTGTTCTCTGTGTTTAATAGAAGTTTACAATTAATCTGAAAACTATGCAAGGACGATATATATATTAGTTTTGAATAATCTTAACACATTTTATTAATACATTCATATCGTTTAGTTCGCAAAAAATGATTTTTTAATTTTTTTAAATTAATGATGTAAAATATCGGAACGTAATCTGTAGAAAAGTAGACATTTTTACATTGACTAAAATTAGATTGTCTTTCATGAATTCATCTCTTATCACTTGTTCATGTGTTTAGATTTCTATTTTTAATATTAATTGTGAAAAACTAAAATTTTATGATATAAAATACTCAAAAGATTTAATCCAAAATCGCAATGAATGAAACTAAAATTTTTATATGGTTGATTCCAAATAAATTTGAAATTAAGATGATATTATTATGATCCGGTCTACAATCTTCTGTATACTTATTAATAGATTGCAGTATGTGACTGGACAAAAATCGGAGTGTCGATATAATTGATGTAATTTTCTTTTTAAAAAAAATGTATATACATATATAATACTGACAGTAGTAGTAGGTCAAAGCGGAGGTGAGACCAGAAGCTAATCACATTCTGACAGCATTTAAGATAAGATGTTGGTTTAGCTTTTTGCTCAGATCACGTGGCCCACACCTTTCCAGCGTGAAGGCCTGGCCCCACTTTGCTGACTCATCATTTCCCATTTTTTTTTTCTTTTCTTGGCAACTGGAAATTTGGAATTATGAAATCACGTGTCTCCTCCAGTGAGTGAATGAAAACTTTTTTTTTTCTCAAAAGGTCCGTAATTCGATTTATTTTACTAATATAAATAAATGGAGTTGCAAACAGAGGATGATCAAAGGTTACGACCATTCCCTACGCAAATTCGGACAACCGAGACTGAGTTATATCAATAGGGTTTTAAAATATATGTATGTATACGTGTATATGTATGTGATGGTGTATATACATAATAGGTTTTTAAAATATAAGGATAATTTGTTTTTTTTTAATTATCCAAACGTCCAAATGGCGATCGAAATGCATGTGAGAAATTGCGATTACATTTTTGACGTTTTATGGTGATTGTAGTAAATAACAAATTAAACTAATTAATTTTTTTTGCCGTCCGGTATCCGGAGTTTTACCCTGACTAATCCAGACCCGACCCGGGTTGTGCACCTGGCTATGGTGGGTGAGTCTCCCAACAATAATGTCTGCATACGCCAAGATTTGAACTCGAGACCTTTTTAAGCGAATACAAGTCGCTTACCACATTACAAGAAACATCCAAAATCCGTCGTAAATATAAAGAAAATCCGCCGCAATTACAAATTTGCGACAGAATACGACGGAACAATTTCCGTTCGTAAACGTTGTCGCAAAAGGTTGACAATCGTTAATCAGTTGCTAAAATTACAACGGACGAAATCTGCGTTTTGCGACGGAAAAACTACGGAAAAATCTGTCGCAAATATTTTTTTAATTTAAAAAAATACGGAAAAATCTGTCGCAAATATTGTATGTATGTATATATATATATATATATATATATTCATATACACATATATTACACATATGTACATATAATTTTACATATATATATATACACATACACATATATATTCACATAAACACACATACACATTTTCATACACATTCATATTCACATACATACACAACACACACACATATACATACATACATAAACACATATACATATACATAAACACATATACATAAATACATACACATACACACACATACACGCATATACACATACACATATTCACATTCACATATATATACACAACACACACATACATATACATATTCACATATACACATTCATATACATATTCACACACATATATATATATTCATACACAAACGTATTCACATTCACAAACAAACATACATACATACATGCATACGTACACCATACACATATTAACAACATATACACATACATACATACACAATATCACACATATATATACATAATCATATATACACATATATACATATTCACACTCATACACATATACATACACGATATATAAATACGTACCTTGACAAATTTGGAAGAAAATAACGATTGGAGAAGATTGGAGGAAATTGTGGTTTTTGTTTTGAAAATTTCAAAGTCTGAAGGAGGAAGACGAAATTGCGCCTTTTATTTAGTGTTGCGACGAAAATTTTCGTCGCAATCGTCGCCCAACGAAATAAAAAACGCAAAAATTTGAAAATTTTTATCGAAAATAATGAAAATAAATAAAATTAGAAATTTTCATCGAAAATAATGGAAATAAATGAAATACGCAAATCCTTCGCAAATTCTAAAAAAATAAATAAAATAAATTAAAAATAATTAAAAATAAAATTTGCGATGGAAAATTTCCGTCATAATGCGTCGCAAATTCTGACACATATTAAAATTGTCGTCGCAAATAATGTTTGTTATTGCGACAACAACGTGTCCGTCGCATTCTGTCGTAAATATGCGAAGGATTGTGCGACTATTTCCGACGTGAAATTTTTTATCATATTCCGTCGCGAAACCGTCGTATTCCGTCATATTTTTGTATGCGACGAAAAATTCAATCGCAAGTTCCGTAGCTATACGGAAATTTTTTTGTAGTGCCACTTGGACCAACCGTTGTTGGTAAACTAATTAATTTATTAATCGTTCGTAAATCAACACAAAAGTCGCAAACGTCGTGTTTTGCCAAGGGTTATATATTAATTACAACCCTAACACTACAAAAAAAAACCGGCATATGGCTAGGGGTGGGCACGGGTCGGGTACCCCCAATTTTCAGAAAACCCTGTCTCGTCTTCATTACCACGAGTTTTACAAAAATATTATCTCAATCTTGGCTTCATAAAATCCGGGTACTTGTAGCTCGGGTTTAATGAGATTCTCGGTGTTGTACTCGCGGGTATCCGGACCCATACGATTTATAAAATTTTGAACTATAAAATGATAGATATAGAAAATACAAATAAGAGAGGTCAAAGTATAAAGAGAAAAATTCACGATGAAGAGAGATGAGTAAAATTTTGAGAGAGAGATGAATAGTTGATTCGGTTACATAGAATGAAATTTGGAATGATGAAATTTTTTTATAAAAAAGTTTATAACATAAAAAAATTAAACTAAAATAAAAGTATTTTAATAAATAATAAGAATAATTTAGACAAAAATATTATAGATATAAAGTATATTTTAGATTTTTAACAAATATACCGGGTACCCCCGGGTACCCTTTGTAAAATAATTAAACCCCCACTCGGACTCGGGGGTCGAAAACTTAGTCTTATTAATGCTCGATCTCATCATCGTTAATATTCGGGTACCCTTTATTCGGGTACTTGTTAAGCCGGGTACCTCCAAACCCCCGGGTTACGGGTTAAAACGTCCACCCCTACATATGGCGACAGAATTTGCGATGAAAATTTCCGTAAAATAGAAAATTGCGAC